TCAAAGAAGAGATGCTAGCGGTAAATATATGTTCGATTACTACCTGCTAAGCTAAAAGCAGCCTAGCCTAAGCTACCGGCTAATAGCGGCTAATAGTAGCCTTGCTAGAACAAGCTTTATTAAAGTGTATTTTTTGTGATTTACAGGAAGCAGTACGCCGTCTTCACAACTCAGAGACTAATTGCAGGCGCTATGAACCGGAGCAAGGGTAAGATTTAAAGAATATGCTTTCATTCTGCGGTAAAAGGCAATGGATACGGATGGATACCGATCATAGCTTTTACATTTTGTTTTCACAGACCTCCCATCTCGGCAAGTCCAGATTTGCACGATGTTGATAAAGACGACATTGTGTGTAAGTGACTTGTTTTAATGTTTTCTCCTTCCTTGTTACTGTGACTTGCGTTTGATTTTTTATTTATACCACTCTCATTTAATTGTTTTCCAGCTGCCTGTAAGACGTATTTTCAGACGGTACGCAGGAGCTTCAGATATACGCAGCCAGCCACACGCTGCGTGCGGAGGCAATCTGCTCGGAGTCGGGCCAGAAGAAAGAGGGTAAGACTTTATTTGGTGACTATTTTTCAGGTGCATTAATAGATGTGTTGTGTCCATACGCAGTGCGCTGATTCATTTTTTTTTTTTTCAGCTGCTGAAAGCGAGGCAGAGTGTGCTAGCAGATGAGGAAGTGGAACTCTGGAAGTCCGCCTTCCTCGGCGGTGTCTCTGGATGGATTGTACGGTCGCCACCATTTCGTAGGCCGGATCTCACTGAACTCTGTGTTAAGCTGCAGTCCCGGTTAGAAGCGATGCCGAAGTACAGGGCCACGCACACTAGGCGTCTGCACATCGGACCTGCCTCGGAGGGAATGCTGCCAGTTACCTCCAACCCCGAGGAAGCAAACGGACCGTTCACGGATTTTTAATTTTTAGAAACGCATGTGTTTGGATACGCGTTGTATATAGTTGTGTTTCAATAAAGCTCTTTCTTTGCATAAACAGCTTCCTGGCAAATCTTCATTTCCTGTATAAATTCATTCATGTCCTTGATGGTAGCATAATAATTGTGTAGTAGTGTAGGATAACATAAATACACACCATATGAATGAATAAATATATGAATGAATAAATATATGAATGAATAAATATATATATATATATATGAATAAATATATATATATGTAAATTTATATGTAAATATATATATATGCCAACCAATCATGAGCGACTTTACTTGTTTAAAAAGAAGTGGTTCCGTCCAATACTCAGTAAGAAAATTAAAGCCTGGCGTGGCCACGTGTGGTTTTGCTGCCAATCACGAGCGATTTTACTTGTTTGAGAATAGTGGTTTCAGCCAATACTGAGAAGGTTATTCAAGCCAGACTTGGCCAGCCGCGCGGGTTTGCTGTATTCATATGCTAATTAGGGCCATTAGTACAGCTGATCGCTCTCCACATACGTCACGGTACGTTTCCGACAATTTGTGGCACGACAAACGCGGACAAGCACGGGTTGCAAATTGTCGGAAACTGACTAAAATCAGGCAGATCTGCGGGAGTTTACGGGGGTTTACGGGGACGAAAATCTCACTTTTCATGCAGTGTACATTATGCACCCTTGTTACCTGCTGTTGCACTCTACGTTTCATATGCAGATGCAGCAACAGTTCTCATGCAGGCAGACAGTATCTACAAATGTTGAAAACCCTAACCAACACAATGCCCCTGCAGTACATCACAGTGACATCAGTGCAGTTTTCTCGGCACAACTAGCACCAGCACGTTTCAGTGCAAGCACCTTTAAGGCCTGCTTGAGGAATGCCACTATCCTGGTCCACCGCAGAGCTGTTTCCATCAGTCGCTCTGTGTGCATTTGTGGGTGTGACTGGATAAATGTGGCTCTAGATCCGCGGTTCTCAAAGTGTGTGGCGCGACCCACTGGTGGGGAATTGAGACGTGACAGGTGGGGCGCGCCAAGTTCCGGTGTGTGTGTGTGTGTGTGTGTGACTATAAATGTAGAACGTGTGAGAGCAAACTGTCCTTATAGCTGTATGTTGCCGCTTTTTAGACCAATCAAACCCACAAAGTAATCATTACTAGCCTACATGCAGTCTAATTAAAAGAACATTAGATATGAGAAACATTTCACCTGGAACTGAAGTGCCAAAATAATTATTGACGTGACGTCGGCATATTATTTGTAACGGAATAAACTTTCGCGCCCCAGTGTTGCCAACTCAGCGACTTTGTCGCTATATTTCAGACCCCTCCAGCGACTCTTTTTCAAAAAAGCGACTAGCGACAAATCTAGCGACTTTTGGAGACTCTTACGTGAAAGCACGTATCGTTCCTTTTCTTGTCCTCCAGCGGCAGGTGCTGCCGTGGGGCGCCTCCTCCGTCCCAACCCCGTTCTCCCCCGCTATCGCAGGAGTCCCTCTCAGCGCTGCAGTCAGAGCAGAGACACAGCATGTTTAACTTTAGCGTCCAGACTGCAAATAAAGCGCACATGCGCCGGGATTGACGGCGCAGGTTGATCATAAATAACTGAATTTGAAATATTTTATTAGTTTATTATGCAATGAAAAATAAAGTAAGTCTATTTTTTCCTATTCTGTCTGCAGCACCTGCTGATTTTAGGTCTGCTGAGGAGGACCAGTTTATTGAAATGACGTCTGACTCCACCCTGAAGCTCAGGTTTAATGCTCAGACTAATAGTGAATTCTGGTTAGGAGTGGAGAGGGAGTATCCACTCATCGGGCAGAGAGCTGTGTGCATTCTTCTTCCCTTTGCCACATCATATCTCTGTGAGATGGGCTTTTCAGCTGTTGCTTCAATGAAAACAAAATACAGATCTCAGCTGAACATTGAGCATGACTTGAGAGTGGCAGTATCAAGCCTGCAACCCCGTTTTGAGAAACTGTGCAATGCAAAACAGGCTCATTGCAGCCACTAATGCAGGGATAAATAGAACTGTCTTGCCAGATGGATTTCACTTCTTTTCTTTTATTAACAGATTGCAGAGTGCCACTTTAATTTTTTCTATCTTTGAGCTTGATACAAATTTTGACACAGCTGCATTTTTATTTTCTTTATTTTTTAGCTTGCTGTTATTTGATGTAGATAGTTTGTATTTAGATACTACTTGTTACTTCAGTAAAATTGGAACATTTTAAGATTGTTGCATATTTCATTAGCATTGTGTTGGGGCGATGGGGACAGGCGGGGCTTGAAAATTCCCCCTTGTCCAAAGTGGGGAATGACAGAAAAAGTTTGAGAACCACTGCTCTAGATTAATGCGCTTTGAGTAAACTGAAAAAAGTTGTAATTAGTAATTAATGTCTCTCTGCTCTCGGTCTTTCACAGCTGTTCAAAATCCATCTATTTAAGCTCTTGTGCTTTAAATGTTACTGTTTAATCCTCTTCCATATTAAGCTCCCAGGCTTTTGTATCTCTGCTTTTCTTTGTAGGTCTGCTTCTATACATTTGAAGCCGGCTTCAACAGATGGCCTGTCACACTAAGCCTGGAACTGCAGGAGGTTTCTTCCTGTTAAACAGGAGTTTTCCTCTCCACTGTCGCTACATGCTTTCTTGGTATGAGGGAATGCAGAGAGTCAATGAGTCGTTGCAATCAGCTGGTTTTCTTTAGATAGAAAACTTTGAACCAATCTGAACTTATGATCTAGTAAAATTGTCTCTGCAAAATTCCTTGAGATGACATGTTGTGAATTGGTGCTATAGAAATTAACCAATTGAATTCAATTTTAATTGGTGCTCATGGTTGCTCAGTTTTCTTTTTTACATTAAATCCTCTTCAATGTCTTTACCCGTTTGTTCTATAGTTGTAGGTGGCTGTGTTTTGCTTTTTTCACAATTCTTTTTCATTATTAAGTCTGCCTTCGTTTGGCACTGTTCCGATATAAAACATGATAACCATGAGTTCAAAGGTTTTCATTCAAATCTTGTTTTGTTTTAAAGGTCCAACATGGGTATTATTGTCATGGCAATGATGAAAATATGTAAACTTTTGGAAAATGTAAGCTAGAACAAACCTGCATTGGAATATTGTGTTATATTTATAGACCATAAGTGTACCTTTTATTGTACTGCCTTTGATAAGAGCACTCTACTACATTGTTATCAACAGAGCTGTTCTGGTAGCTCCTCTCCAGCACTTACATGGATTTGTCTGCAGCCTGTGACCATAAAATTGCATGATGTTATTTACTTTCAACATATCCAGAAGTCAATAAAAGGCATATCAGTTACTGTTTGTAAAAGTGTGTTTGTGCAGGGCTTTTCCAGTGTGCCAGTCATGTTTGTTTCACCATTGACAACATTATATTTCTGTCTCTAAAGTCCCATGAAACATAAGGTTATTTTTACATAACACAATATGTTAAACTATTTTTGTTAAGCGGTTTTGAGAACATCCCTGTAACAGCTTTAAAAAAAAGTTAACTAGACATATAAATTGTATTTGTCTGCCTTCAGCAGTGTGTCTGTCTGATGTTATCTCTTCAATCTGCATCACACATTGGCAAATTTTGTCAACATTTCTACTTAACATGGATCAGCAGCTGTGATTGCAATCTGTTGTCATGAAGAATCCTCCCTAATGCGGTGGTAAATCACAATGGGGGAGGTATTAATATGATGCAACAGTTAAATAGGGACTCTGATATGAGCTTATGTCACTGCAGAAAAATGGGTGAAAACACTCAGATCATCTGTTATGAAATGACATTATTTTTCTATTTATATAACTATGTGTAAAGTGGACTCAGATTTGATCAGAGATTAATTTATGGAGAATCACTCAGGTGGAAACAGAGCTGAAATGGTTTTTGCATTAGCATTTTTTTCCACCAGTCAGAACATTTCAGTGAATGGATAAAAGGACATTTTGTCCATTCACAAAGTTGTTGTTTTTAAAGCAGATGAGGCCAATACAGAAAAATAGGAATTAAAGCACACAAATAATTTAGAAAAAGTATCACTTTATTGTTACTATAGATGATAGACAAGCAGAAAATAGATCATTATTGTGAAGAGGATAGAAAATGATACATGCTGTAAGTCTGAAGCTTAAATGTGAAAAGCAAATGCTGCAAGACACATTTCACTGAAAGTCCATCTTCATATTGGGCTATGTTTCTACCAGCTTTACACTTCTCAAGACTAAAATTGTATCTTACTCTTTCAACAAAATAACTAATGTGTAATGTGTAAAACTATTTTCAAGTTGTTCCTCATATCGTTGATTTGATGTCAGTCTGTACTTTGACTGGACTGGTCTCACACAGGAAATTTGCTTTGATCCATAACCTTAAACTTTGGTACAACTATTACTGGTGGTCCCTTGCACACCTTTAGTGGTACTTAGATGAAATATTACTATCATTAATTTCTCAGGTAATGACATCCAAAAACAAAACATATTACAATTTAAACAAATGTTTGATATGTTGGTTGAAATACTTGGTTTTCAAGGTATCTGTTATTTATAGTCAAATCTAAAGACAATGTTTTACATTTTTTATATCACACACTACATATTAACAGAAGGAGATTAACATTGCTTTTGTTAGAGAGTTAAATTGATATGCATTGTCACAAGTACAGATATAATATTTTTGTTTTTTTAATTGCAACTGAGGTATCTCAACCTTTAACACTGAGGCAGCCATGTTGGGTTTTAAAGAAGGTGAAAAAAGCATGAACTTGGAAATTTGAACTTCTGAGTAAAAAAAAAGAAAACATTATTACAGACAATTAAAAAAAATACATGCCACATTTTGTTTTTAATAAAAAAAAAAAAATGTAAACTATTCTTTTTCTTATTTCCTCATTTTACAATTGCTTCTCTAAGATAGCCCGGTGCCGGATCCACTAAAAACCTATACAAACATAATACCACACAAAACTGAACTATCAACCAGGTCCACGCTGACTTTCCGCTCTACAATGAGTAGAACAGTAGGTCTTACATTTTGTCCAGTTTTCCTTTGTGAATATGCAGACCATGTGCTGATCATCAAAACATGCACAATACAGAGAGAAGGTTATGAAAATGTAATCTTCTACAAAACTAAACACAGACAGCCACTAGAGATCATGGGAATATAATAGGGTCTGTATAGGCAGAGACAAGGGCGTTGTCCTCAGTTGATCATTTTAGTGCACAAAAGTTGTTATGTATTTAAGAAAAAGAATAGAAACTTTTCTTTGGGAGATTTTGTAATTTATAATTTTAAAAACTTGTTTAAATGTTTTACTCTTGTTTTGTAGAACTTTGGGATACTCATTTGTAAAGTGGAATGTATGAATTGAAAGTATTATTGTTATCATTGTCTTTTCCATCTCTGCTCTTCCCAATTATCCTTGATGGCAGCCAGTAGCACACAAAATCCATATTTAAATGAGGCCGTCTGCACCATTCTGCACTATTTGTATGAAAACCTGTTGACTGATTCCGACTACTCAATAAATAATATAATATACATATTCCTCATTTTCATTAAAATAGAACTAGTGATTGCTTCGAACGGTATCATTATTTGAATAGCTTAAAAATGTAAAGCTTGGGGTGCTGCTATGGTGTGGAGGTAGAGTGCATGACCCAAACACCTGCTGTTGCAGGTTTCGAGTACTGGTCCTCCTTACCTTTGCCAGACGCCTCTCCCCCCTCTTGTAACCCAGTTTCATATCTACATACTTGAAAAAATAACAAAATAAAGGACACTTATGTCTAAAATATTCTTTAAAAAAGTAAAGTTAATTTTGTGAAACATCTCTAATGGCTTCATTGTAGTTTTCAGAACTTTTTAAAATCTGGGTACTGAAGCAAGACACAACTAATCTTGTTTCTTATTTTTCAGTGCAAACCTGTTATGCATACCTGTTAGACAATAAATATTTTTTATAATACAAAATGTTATTAAGATTATGTCAAAGTAGTACACTATATCTAATTCAACTCTTCTGGAATCTGACCTGGTATCCTGAAACCAGTCTGCTGAGCGTGGTCTAGGGTGGTTCTGGGACTAGGTATTGCAAAACTTGCACGTGTCTCTATGGTGCAACTAGTCCTATGAAGGAACTGCAAGAAGTTTTCCTGGCCTGAGCCCTCATGGCTGGAACAAGCCAAGTCTGTTGGGTATACTGAGTAGCAGCGCCTGAGCTTATACAGCTCCTCGCGGATCTGCCTGTTTAGGAGTCCGTAAAAGAAAGGGTTCATAGCAAAAGAGGAATATGCAAGCCAGGTGACCACTTCCTCCAAGTCATTAGGGGTGTGAGGATTTGAATCTTGAATCAGATGGAGGTGGAAGGCAAAGTAAGGAAGCCAGCAGATTAGAAACTGACCAACAATAATCACAAGGGTGAGAGCAGCTTTGCTTCCAATAAAAGGTCGCCCACGTGTAATCCTGCGAGGGACGTGGTGAGTTGTAATGATGGTTGTCTGGCTGTTTATGGAGTCCGAGCGATGCTTGACCTGAGTGTTCGTCCATGAGGGCAGGGGTCCATTCTGCTGCGCTGCCACACGGGCAACCTTGTATACGTTACAGTAGACAGCAAAAATGACCACAGCTGGCAGACAAAAACAAATGACGCTGAAGAGGGCAGAGAAAATACGCCTGTGATCCCTGTGGCTCCAGTGGAGTGAACAGTGTGCAGCACTTATGGACCTCAGGCCATAAGATGGCCATCCAAAAATTGTGGAAAAGCCAAGAATGGCAGAGGCCACCCACACCAATATCACAACAGTTGAGGTCAGCTTCAGAGTCATTTTGACCTCATAGTGCATGGGATGAACAATATAGTAATACCGTTCCACACTGATGGCTGTAATTGTGAAGATAGAGGCAGCTATAAGGATTACATTGAGGAAGACATAGATCTGGCACTCCAGTACAGTGAACACAATACCAGCAAAGTATGGCGAGCTGGACACGATGCCAAGAGGCATTAGCAGGATGGCACACAGCAGGTCCACTGCACAGAGGTGACACACAAAGGCAAACTTCCTGAGATGAGGGGCTTTGATGACAACCACCATCACAGCTGTGTTGGCCAGGAGTGCAAGAACATTCAGGGTCACCATGAAGAGCATCCCTGTCATGTCTTTGAATCGTGTCTGCAGGTTGGGAAGTGTTTCCTGCTGTCTGCTGGGAGCAGAGGGCATAGATGCCCATGCTGGGGTGCTGTCATTATACTCAGAGGCTGAAACGGTGCCTAACTCCTCCATAATTCATAATAAAGGTTTCAAAGAAGAAGCCTGCTGTACGATGTTTTCCATCACTTTGTCAGTCAAAGGATCTCTCCGAATCCAAATGAAAATCTTGTCACCTCTGTAAAAAGAAAAAAGACCCATTTTGAACATTTTCATCATACTCCACATAAAGATTAAAGTAAAAAACTAATTTTTCAGACAATAAGAACGAACAGTAAATATAACATTTGCATACTTACGTTCTTCATGTTTAAAATATGATCCTTTGCTTGCTCATTTATGTAAAATTTACTCTGATTTTTTTATCCCACAGAACCCATATTCCAACTTTTCCATTTGATTTGCGTAAATATTACTCTATCAGGTCATGCCACAGCTTTTCAATCAGATTTTGGCCATCCAAATTTAACTTTTCGGGAATGCTTTAGATTTTTCTGTTGAGAACTCTACTTTTGATTTGCCACTGCAAATTTTTATCCCAAAGATGATCATCAAAATGTTATAAAGTAAATGGAAGAATGGTCATCACATTCTTTTCTTTTTTATGTTATTCCTGTTAAATCAAGAACACGGATCTTAAGTGATGCAATAGAATTGCTGTGATCTAGAAATGATCCTTTATTATATAGTGACCATCTGGATGAATCTTCAATACACTGTTGGGAAAGTTAATCACTGATGTTTTCCTCATTTGTGAATAATGGTGATTACCTTTGTTAACTAGGGTTTTAAAGACCTGAGAATGGCTTCATTAACCTTTCCAGACTGAAAGATGTGAGAAGATTTGTGTCTCATCTGTCACTGGTTTTCATGTCGTCATCCAGGTTCTTTTTAAGAGATTTCTTGATTCTATACATCAGGCTGTAATAAGGCCAGAGTGTTTCTACTGAAACCAACCAAATAATGTGGTTAATAACAGTTAATAACAGCTTTTTAAAGCTTATTATTAAAACCCTAAACTATTAACCACTATTTGTATTAACTAAGTCTATTTTACTTTGATTTTAAAGTACTTTGATTATTTTACAACATTTAAATGGGATGTTTTTTACTCCAAAAATAATAAATCTACATGTTCACAACAAACATTTCAAATATATCGACTCCGTTCCTTGCAGCAGAGCCTCCTTTTTCTATTAATTTGTAATTGTTAAGACAATACAATGTTTTTGCCATGAAAATTAACATTGTGGGCATGTGAAATTAAAATTTCAAAGGAGAAACAGATTTTTTTTACCTATACCAAACAGTTAATTGCAGAAATAATTTCTACTTCCCCAGTTTCAAGTTTAAATTGCCTTTCCTTAACTTCCATAGACTAGATGATGGACACTGATCATATTGATGGATATGATCTTGTAACAATTAACAGTAAAACACTATATCAAACAAATATACAAGCTAGAACAAAAGCATTTTTTTAAAGCTGTCAGTATACCAGATTCCAAACAAGATTCATATAAAAAAAGCACATGAAAAGTATAGAAACAAAAAACACTATGTTTATAATAGGCAAAAGATATATGAATATTAACAGAAAAAAATAGGAGGTGTTATGTGTTACTAAAGCTGATGGAAAGCAGGATCTCTGGAAATGTTCACTTGCATAGCAGCGATTAGTGTCTGATCAGTGTCACCCTTCATCATAACATCAAAGAGTGTCCTCTCTTCACACAAATCACAACATAACTTACAAAACACTTATGCCTGGGACTAGTTATGAAGCAGAGGCTCGATCTACTATTAACTCATTCAGATGAATTTCATTTTTAAGTATACAGTATGTGGCTCTCTGAACATGTATGAACTAATTGTTCGAAAATCATATTTAGAATTCATATTTGAGAGAATGTTTCCTAAATGCGGATGCTTTCTGCTGCTATAATCTTCTCTGATAGGGAGTGACTGGTGTGCCAGTTTTATAGAGAGGTTTATCCACAGGAAAGGGACTTACAAATGTACATCCTCATATTATGTAAGGTTGTTCTCATTTCAGTCATGTTCTAGTTGCAGATTGGATACGCTGATGGCTTTAGGTCTGTTTGACCTTTTTAAATAGAAAGCGATTTATCTATTGAAATTCTATTTGCATAAAATAAAAAAAAAGAAATATACAGTTCATAAAATTTTGAGTTTGCTTGTTCAGAAAAGGTTAATGCATCCCAGTATGCTTGAATAGTGTCCAACAGGACTATTTTTAGTTAAATACATTCAGCATAATAAAACTCTATCAACGCATAAGTTCAAGAAAAGGAAAATAAAACCACAACCAAGAAAAAAAGCTATTAATATAGAAGGTTTCTGAGAATTATAACTTTTTAAATAAGTTGCAACCATTAAAAATAGTAGCTTGCAATATAACTTGCTGTTAAAAACGTAGGGCACATCATTACTTTGAGCAAATTTTTTAGCTATAGATATGAAGTAAGGAACTCCAGATTAATCCAAGGAGGGGGAAAAATAATGGAAACTGAATGAAATAATTAATTAATGTTCTGTCATTAAAGGTTATGTAGATATTTTTAGATGTATCCACTGTTTCTAAAACGTTTTGCAGAACTACATGGTTGATTTGAATTCAGAAGATGATTACAATAAAACGTTGAAATATTATATTTTATTTGATCTTATTCAACATAAAATATGCTTGATAAGAAATGCTCTATTTTTTCTTTATCGTTTACATATTTTCATTTGTTCATTATTTCTAAGGAGTTAGGACAATTTTTATTTTGACACCTGACAACCATGCAGGTCTGATGATAAACTGAAGTCCTTTTTTCAAAGCCTGTATATTGATTTTTAAAAAATGTTTATAAAAAAAAATGTTTGCTTATTCATATAAAATTGTAACAAAGCTTACGTTTAAGAGTAGCCCTTGGTCCTTGGAGATTTTCTTAAAAAGCTGAACACTTCCAACAATCTTGGTTCTCTCCTGAACTCCCTTCAGTAGTCCAAAAATCGTCCGCTGGGATGAAATATTTCATAAAAAGAATACTCCTTTTTTTTTTTTCAAAGGAACATATGACCTGAAGAAGGGTTGATTGCACGAGAGTGAGAGGAATGATCTGTGAGATCTGACTCAGGCAACTCAGATAGCTACAGGGACAGAAGAGGGAGGAGCCATAAACCGGTGATCACCTCAAATCAAAAGATGTTAATAGCAACCCTCACATTCTGCTGACATAAACCATAGAATAACTAAATAACTAAAGAATAAGTGAGCAGTTGTTTTATTTTCTGCACCTTACTGAGGTAATGATTCAGTTGAAACTGCAATGTGAAAAGACAATTTAATTCTCTTGCTCTCAGATTAAATCAGACTAAACATTTCTTGTTTCAGATCAGTTAGGATTGACAGAATTATTTCAATTTGATAACATGCAAAATGTTTAACTGAACTTTTGAAAGCCCAGATGATGATGTTAGACTGTGTTGGCTTTACAGGTTAATCCAAGACATTTCAATCAAGTTGAGGCACACCTGTGGACAAAATCAAAGACAGCACTCCAAACAAACACACTGCTTTCTCATTTGAAACATATTGAAAAAAAAACCTTAACAAATAAGCCACGATATAAAAGTCTTGTCAAGTCTCCTCAAGCCTTGCTCATGTTTAGGTGTAATTTCCAAATGCTTAAGGTTCAGCATTCATCTATTAAAACAATGATGTCCAAGTATAAACAGCAATAAAATCTTAATTGTACCTTTCTGGAAAAAAAAATACCTTGCAGGTTGAATTCTCTTATCTTGTGGAGTCAATTACCATTAACATGGCTTTAAGGGCCAGTGGGCCACTAGGAGGGGAGGAAGACATTGTTTCTAAAGATGCATTACAAAAAAAGAAGTCAGCTTGCATGTGGAATTAGTGACAGAAACCTTTAGAAACAGATATTTTCTGTAATTTCATTAAACTAAAACAAGGATATTTGGCTGTAATATCTAGTTTTGCTTTTGAATAACAAAAGTGAAACTATCCAAGCTTAGAACAATCAATCTAATCAGTGAAATCTAAGGTTGGGAAGTTCATGCTTTGTGGACATTTTCCTGATCAAATTCATTATTGGAATATTGAGTTAATAAGTCAAGAGCTTGGTCATTAAGTTATGGCTTAAGCCCAAATGGATCTAACAAATAGCCAATAACTCCAAGTGGCTTCAGGACAACAAATTAAATGGTTTGAAGTGAACATATTCCAAATCTGTCTGGATTATGTATTCAAACATCTACGATTTTGGCATTTGGTAGATATATTTTATTTCAGAATCCTAAATGACAAAAAACAGGAAAGGTTAATTTTATATCATACAGTAAAAAAAAAGAAAACTGTTACACGTGTCCTTTGACACAGTGGACATAAATCTCATGTTTCAAATTTACTTCCAGGGAAGTTTTAACAAGGCTCAGTGCTGACATCTGTTGACTGACAGCAGGAAAAATGCACGACAAAGAGGACGTTCTAAACTTTATTATACTGATATACTTATAGAAAGTTACAGTACATAGACGAAATAAAACATGAGAGCTGATTATTTTAAGAAAAGGGTGTTTATAACAGAAATCAAAGTCTGAAATTGAATGAAAAAGTCAAAACTGCAACATCAGCTTTTAAAAAGATCACACATAGCACTGGTGTATGCACATACAAGGTACACTGGGTTGAGAGATTGAATATTATTGTTTCTACGCTACCACACATATAAAATCACCTCATCATAGACCATTATGCTTAGTAACGCTAGGTTATACACACATAAAACTTTATAGTGTTATCAACTCCTCAGACTCAATAGGCAGCAAAGAGCTGTCAGAGTAAAAAGAAGAAAAAAATACAGGAGCCTAAAAACGTATGACAAACACTGAAAGTTTCACTTGGTTTAAAAAAGGCAACACTTTGAGATCAGAGAGTAATACCATGCCAGATGGGCGCTGCTAAAACTCAGAGTCATTCGCCATTGCATCATTTCCAGACAGAAGTGAAGCATCTTGGCAGAAGGTTTGATCAACAGCTGCCCTGTTTTCAGCTTTAGCTAGCCCAAGCCTCTTCTTCAGAAGCTTGTCCTCGTTGTTCAGCTTTGTGCGGATAGCGTATTTAATCTGGGTGCTGTCGACGCCAAACTTCTCAGCAACGTGATCTAAAAAAGGGACAGGAGAAAACACATTGCAAAGTAATGCTGCAATGCTGCAAGAGTGAAGTTTTCATTTTTGATATTTATCCTACCCATGAGGCTTTTTAAAATCTCAGGTGGCAGAGGAGGCTTGTGGCTTTCCTCTCCTGTAAAGTTGTTCTTCCGGCCCTGCAGACAATGTGTGGCCAAAGTGTCTCTGTCGAAGAGTATCATCAGCAGAGCTCCAACATACTTCTTAAAGTCAGACATGTCCGCGACACGCTCATAGAGATCTTTGGGCACTCGAATGTTCTCAGCAAGATACACAAAGTTAAGGTCATCCTGAAACAAAAAAGAGAATTTAATTACACTGATCAATAATTCATACACTGCAAATAATGTAAATCTAAATAAGCCCTTTTTTTCTTAAAATAAGTGGATTTGTTCGTGAATTGAGGACGTAAGTGAGACACTTTGCAAATGGAACAAGACAATTTGCATTTAAAATAAGAAAAACCAACTGCATCGTCTTATTTCAAGTGCATATTATCTAATTGTCTTAATCTAAGAGTAAAAATACTAATACCATTTGCAAATCATCTTATCTATCTACTCAAATTACAGTTAAATACACCTAATTTAATACATTTTTACTTCTTTCTAGATCGATTTTGAAGAGTACATAAGCTTTATCACATTGGTGAAACGAAGCATACAAATATCCTAATATAGGTTTGGTTTGATTTATCCTTTAACAGTTGTGTTGGTAAAAAGACACTGACCTCTGGGATATTATGAACTCCTCCAACATGAACTTGGGACTCCCCCAGGAAAGTCACAGGTTCGTTGTGGTTTTGTGGCTCAACTACTGCCTCACCTCCATGGAGAACGTGATCCAGAGTTACTCGAAGTTCATTTGCTGTGTGCCTCATCTGCATCATGAGTGTGTTCATCTCTGCAAACAGACAATTACACTTGTAAAACACATTTTATACGGGAAGTATGCACTCTATACAAAAATATACAGCTGCAAGAAAGGTTTGGTGGATCAGCTGGAGTTTTCAGAGCATTTTCGTGTTAAACCAAATAAAGCAGTGATGCTCTTCGTTTATTGTTCCCTATATTTGAAGTATATGTTCATGCCCTGGGAAAGCTTGGTAACCTCCTTTTTATACTGCTTTCTCCTCTGTGCTTTATAGCTTCATGCTGATTATGCAACAGGCCCATGTTCTAAATATGCTTTTAATCTACTGATTATTTTGGAAAGGAAATCAAGAGATTATTATCAAACTCTAGCTGTTATTTTGTGTTTTCCTTTATTCTATAAATTATTGCCAGTGTTCTGAACATAGCCTACTGTTTTTCTCAAATATGTTTTTCTTTATTGCTTTTATACAAAGAAGATACAATTGCACCCGAAAATCTCTGAAGTTATGTTCTTCGTTTAGGCTGCACAGTGGTGCAAATGCAGCACTATTGTCTTGTAACAAGAGGTTCAGTTCTTACCCTAAGGTCTTTCTGTATGTGTATGTTCTCCCTGTGAATGGGTGGGTTCTCTGAGGGTACTCCTGCTTCCTCCCACAGTCCAAAAACATGAAAGCTAGGTTGATTGGTGGTTTCTCTAAGTTGCTCTTAGGCGCTAGTGTGTGTTTGCATTTTTGTATGTCTCTGCCCTGTGATAGAATGGTGACCTTTCCAAGGTGTACCACATATTTTGCTAATAGAGTGGAGGAGATAGCCAAACCAGCTAAACTACGATATGTAAGGTGACTTCAACAGTAATCTGCCTTAAGGCAAATAAGAGCCTGACGTGCTAATGGCAGGAAGTGTTAGTAGATTCCACCCACCTTTCAGTTCCCTCAGCTCTCTCTCAGCCAAAATCCTGCATCTGCGCTCATATTTTAGCTGTGCCTGAAGCTGTTCTATTTTCATAAGGAGGCTGATGGTGTCTGTTCTGATGCCTTGGCTTGCAAGATGTTCCTCATCACAGTCAAACGTTTCAGGCTGCCAATGAGGAAAAAACAGAATAAATAAATTCAAAGAGCTTAAGAAAAATAACTCTGCGTCTGGGTACATGTGTCCAATATTCAACAAAATATAGAGTTCCCATCATACTGAACTTACTGCTTAAAGTTTATTTGTTAGATTTAACATAAATTCCTCAAGAAAGAGGTGTATTCTTAAGCTGTATAGATTAAGTGTGTCACTTTTTATTTCCTAAACAATACTGATTTTTGCAGCTCTAACTATGAACCAATACTAATATCGAACCAATACCAGATCAGCCCAAATCATAGATACTTTTATTACATATTTTGTAGTGTGGACTTTTGGAAAAACTTGATCTACTGATATTATTCCCTTTATTGTTAAACTTTAAACAAAGTGGAAGTTTTTCTTTGTGCTTGCTCATATTAAAGATATTTGTTGCAGGCCAATATATTCCAATATTCGTCTTTAGGGTGATTTTCCAGCACTGGATCCGTACATCCCTAATGGAGATTAGAGTAAAGCAGTGCTGCTGCTCTCTAATCTGATGCCGCTCACTGCAAGACTCCTGCAGTTTAGCTTTACTTTGAAGCCAGAACAGTTTAGCTGCTTACTTAAATTTGCACGCAGTAAAGCTAAAAAAAAATGTAAAAACCTTTAATCTTTTAAAGCAACAGTTTTTATCGAGTGCTGAAAAAAACTTTTGCTTTTTAGTAGATCATGGAAAGTGTTTTTTTCATTATTGTTTTCATCTGATCTTTTCAAGATGCCAAAACAGAAGGGGAAGTTACAACACCAAAGCAAGGTTCTAACTGCTCATTTCATCTTGACTATATACCGTATTATTTGCCAAAAGACGGAACTCTGGAGATTTGCCGAGACAATAATAACGCTGTCTCTCCTCTACCAGTTCCTCCACATTTTCATTCAAATGAACAAAATAATGCTCCTACTGTGTATTTGGATGAAAAGAAAAACAAAATTAGCTGTTAGGGAAAAAACAAAAAAAAAACTGGTCAAAGCATAGACATGAAAGGAGTGCTATCTATCACCCTCATTTAACAAATTCTTTTTTTAAACTACAGTTTGCAGGCTATTATTAGCATATGGTTTAAAATCAAATTAATATTTTGCCAGTTTTAACCCTGATTTGATCCATTTGTTGCGTTTTAATCCATTTCTTCTTTGAAATAAGTTAAATTTAGTAGGTTTTTTCTGAACTATAAAACACACAATATATAATCACAAGAAAAAAAACTGTTAAATAAGGTCGTTATTTCCAGTGTGCACAATACATATTAATAACAATATACATTTAGAGTCTCACAATGAAACGAGACAAACAAGCTCAAAATGGAGTGAGACAAATAACTTATTTACTTCTACTCTCTGTTCACATAAATTATGTGTATTTGCTAAAAATACATTTTATTTTATTTTTTCCACAGATGCATGAATACATACATCAACACACATACATATTTGCATTTCTAATAATCAAAGTATTTTTTTACACTATCATATATGTTTATTTTAGGGTAGATTTTTTTGCATATTCTACATATAAGAAGTAAAAGTGTAAATATAAAAATAAATATATTCAATGTGAGATATTAGAGTAACAGTCTACCTCTAGGAACATCTTCCAAGACTGTTGGAGAACCAGGTCAGGGTACTACCTCGTGGACAGGATGATAAGAATGTGCAAAAATAAACAAAAACCATTTGTGTTTTAATGGTTCAATTCAGCTGGGATTTGCTCACATCATTGGTGCGAAGAGGTGAGTGGCTAGACTCCTCTGCCATCCTGTATCTGTCCTCCACTGAGCCAGCACCGAACTCCTGAAGGTGTAAAGGACTGCCGATCTTTATCATCTTCACTTGCGGCTGTGTTGGACTAGATCCACAGCTTCTCTTTGGAGGCATTACTGAAGTAAATCTGGACACACGGACACACATTCCAAGTTAGGCTTCCCTGCACAGACATGGGATCAGGCAAACTTTGTTTTCAATCATATCACGATCTGTCTTTGCTTATATATACATTCCTGAATGCCACACAAGATGGAGAGTTTTTTTTTTTTTTTGATCGGTTCCGCTGGCCCCTGTCTCCTCTTCAACCCCTCCCACTAACGCAGCTGGATGCACAACACAAAGTATCCATCATCGTGTTGTGAAATCATGATTTATTGTCAGACTCTCACCTGATCGTTCAGACAGCCTTCAGAAAGCGATTCTGAACACAGTCACTGAGGACAAAGGCAGCGGAGTACATGGAAATACTGTGTAGTAGAGGAAGTAGTAGTACTACTCCAGTATTACAGTATAAGGGTCCTGGTGTAGTCGCTTCAAATTTTGGATACTTTCATAGAAGATTTCCACGCCCATATGCTTGAAATATCAAGTTTATATTTATGTTTAAAACTGCTTGGGAATTATGTCTTTGGGACTGACATATTTTAAAATCCGTATTTTTTCAAACATACCTGTGGAACATTGCAGTAGATACGTAGTTCCCGAGGGAAGAATTTCAAATCTGTACAACTTCCTGTTTCGCCTTCTTCCAACGATTTGACCAATGGAAATTCGCTATTATGAGAAAAGGCGGAACTTTTGAAAACTGACAAGGCTGCGAGCCAATCAGTTTCCAAGGCTTCCTTCGAGCCGGGTGTGGGCTTCCACATTGGTTTTGATCTACACATGTGGCTTCAATGTTGCTGCTTAAAGACAGTGGAACAGCGATAAAGGTTATTTGAAAACATTTGTTTAATTTGTAACAATGTCTTCGTCATTTTTTATAAAGTCGAAAGGGAATCCTAAAGCAACTAAAAAAGGAAAAGATACTTCAGCGGTTAAACGGAAGGTAAGTGGAGTGTGTGCTGGAGTTAGCAGTCCAGCTAAATCATGTTAGCAACTGTATATTCGTGTTATTTTTATTTTGTACCTTTTCTGTAGGCAGATGGAGACGCGAGCGGGAAGAATAAAATAAGAGCAAAGAAGTCCAGCAAATATAATGAGGAGATTTCCAGTGACTCGGAGGTGGAGAGGTTTGTGAGGATGTTACTTTTTGCGAAAATTTACAAAAGTTTCACAAGATTTCACAAAAAAAAAGAAAATAAGTATATGTTTAAATAATACCCAAATCATATGTGTAAATTAGAAATTAAGTCACTCTGCTAAGCAGAAAGTCTTGGGTAAATATGTCCGTAAACATGCTCTGAAAACTGCATAAGGTCGTAACACTAAATTTCAAAAACTTGTAAAAACAACTACACTGATATTTGCTTGGCACATTAATCACAGGATTTTGATAGGCATATTTTTTGATAGGTTATTTTTGAATAGGGAAATAATTGCTAAATTGCCTTTATAACAGACATCTTCAGAAAGAAAAAAAAACATATTTTTTAAGAGTTTTGCTTTATATACAACAACAGAAATCAGTTGGCATTCTTTTTAATCTGAGCTTTAGAGCTTTGTTCTGAAATCAAACAGACTACCATTTCAAGTCATTTACAGTATGTGGACAGCAACTGCATAAACAAACTCATAACTCAAAGATTCTGATTAAAAACTAGGAATGGAAAAAGTGCATATATGTATATTTTTTGCAGCCCTGCATTACCCAAGAAGAGGCAGGCCAAAGAGGAGATTGAGTTTGAGGAAACTCCTCAGGAGAAGAAGCTCAGATTAGCCAAACTATACCTTGACCAATTGAAAGAAGAAGGTAGGCTTGTGTACTTTATGTCAGTAACGTGTGGCCTTTCAGAGTTTAAAGTAAGTTGATTTGTTCTTAATAGAAGAAAGAAAAGCTGAAGGTGAGTCGTTTGAGACGGATCATATAGCTGGACGACTTCAAGAAGAAGTGGTAAGAAGTATCTTTTTGTGAAGATGTGAAGCAGATACAAGTCATTTTTTTGCAACATTAAAATTCCTTGGAATTTAAATGTTCTGTAGAAGTATGTTCTTTGATGTTAAAATAAGTGGACTCCATGGTGTCCTCTTAACTTATTTTTCAGCTCTTTTGGACTATTTGTTTGTGATTATTGTCCTCCTGTCTGACTGATCTTGTCTCTTGATTTCAGCTTGAGCAGAAAGGAAAGCTCCAGCGTCTTATAGCCAAAGATGTAAGTGTGAAAATGTTCTTTCCCTGAATCCTGCTACTTACCTAGGATAATATACATTTTGAAAAAAACATGTTTAATTATTTTACTTATTTTTTTAGCTCATGCCACCAGATGTCTCGGAGATCCGGGTGTTAAGAGGTCACAAATTAGCGATTACTTGTCTGGCTGTCACTCCTGATGACAGATGCATCTTTTCAGCTGCTAAGGACTGCTCCATTATTAAATGTCAGTGTTTGGTTGTTTTGACTATGATGAAGTAAACGGGGCCGTAAATATGTTAATAAATACTACTCAACAATGTCTTCAGGGGACATTGAAAGTGGGAAGAAGCTCCATACAATACATGGTGGAAGAAAAGGTACAGAAGACCGCCATGTTGGACACACGGCTCACATCCTGTGTATGAGCCTTTCATCAGATGGGAAATATCTGGTAAGAAACTGTCTTTTTATAGACTGTCGGGCATCTTTTATGGTATATTTTGTCATATGAGGTGTAACATTTGAATTTATTGTCCACATTAGGCAACAGGAGACATGAACAAGCTGATAATGATTTGGGAGGCAGAAACATGTAAACATCTGTATAAATTTACAGGACACAAAGGGCCTGTTTCGGTACGTTCTTTGTTTTCCTGAGAACTTTGGAAAAACTTTTAGGATTACCAGATATGTTTCATGTGAAATATGTTTATCTTTGCTTTGTTCTCAGGGTCTTTCATTCAGGAAGGGAACTCATGATCTGTACAGCGCTTCTCATGACCGCTCAGTGAAGGTGTGGAATGTAGACGAGAACGCATACGTGGAAACTCTGTAAGTCGATCGTCAATAGACTTGGATTCCCTGTTAGTACTTTGGGATAGATTTAATTGTGTTTGTGAATGTTTGTAGCTTCGGCCATCAGGATGCAATCACAGGACTGGACAGTCTGAGCCGTGAACGCTGCGTCACAGCAGGTGGGCGGGACGGCACAGTGAGAGTGTGGAAGATAGCTGAAGAGTCTCAACTGGTCTTCCACGGACACGAGTGGGTTTCTTTAGTTCTCTGGTCTAAACATTTGTTTCTCTCTATTACTCAAACCAACAAAAATTTCAGGAGTCGCTGCTCTAGAGCATTGTTTCCCAACCTTTTTTGACGTCCGAACCCCTTTGGGCATTTTTTCTTACCATGAGTACCCCTCTCAGTCAAAAGTATTAAAGATTGTCCAAAAGTTTAATGTACAATAACTGATTATAGAATAAAAACTATTTTACTTAATATTTCAACTTTAGCATTTCATTCTTAGACATTTTATGCTTTCCATGTCAAATAAGAAAAACATAAATAGGTTGTCTGGCAGTTGGTAAGGAATCAAAATAAATACATTATTTGTATAACTGATGTTCCTTTGAGTAAATCCCTTATACTCAGTTAAACTTGATGAATTGGGAACAAAATACAGAAAAAAATTGTAGTCAGAATAACTTGGTTTTACTTTGTTTTCATCAAGACACCTGAGCTTGCTTTGATGAGCTCCTCTGTTCTGTACATCCAGTCTGTTCCTCTGCTTGGTTTTGGTGTGTGTCAAAGCTGAAGGTGAACTCAAAGAAAAACTTGCTTTTGTTTAATTTTTCCACCTGAGTCCTCACAAAGCAACACAGATCCTGACCCTATTTATTTTACTACCTAAAAAATGAAATATTTCATTCAGACCACTAGGGGTAAGTGTAAACCCCAGGTGGGAATCACTGCTCCGGAGTGGAGGTCTTCAACAGGGGGTCCTCGGAGGTACAGCATAGGGGTCGCGAAAATTTGGGTTGATTTGACTTTTTTTTTATATATATATATATATATTCCCCCCCGGCAATTTTTTCCACTATTTGTCTTTAAATACACATAATGGTAAATGGCATGTACTTATATAGGGCCTTTTTTCAAGTCAGGAGACTTGACCAAAGCTCTTTACACTACATTCACTCACACACTGATGGTGTCAAGCTACATTGTAGCCACAGCTGCCCTGGGGCTCACCTACAGAAGTGGGCGCCACTCTGACCACCATCAGTAGACAGTGTCTTGCCCAAGGACACAACAACAATGAAAGTCAGAGCCGGGGCTTGAACTGTTAACCCTTCGATTTCAGGGCAAACTCCTACATCCAACGCCACTGTCGCCCCATCAATGCACTCATTCAGTGACACACAGGAGCTCTTTCAAGCTGGACACTGTTTCATTCACACCTGTCCCATCAACCAGGAATCAGAAATACTTTAATAATCCCATGGAGAAATGACTTGCATTACATTACTTCATCTGTAATAGAGTGACTATAGGACCAGTTTGATATAACACAATATATATAATTAGGAGGTCCTCGCTCCATCTTGCCTTCAGTTTGGGGGGTCCTTGGCCTGGAAAACATTGAAGACCCCTACTCTAGAGTGTGAAGATTCTTACTTTTGCTCATACTTGCAATAGTTCTTTTTAAAGTCCAGCTTGTTCCATTACAAACAGGTAAAAAATTAAAAAAAAGATTAAAACCACTACTACTAGTACTTTGACAGGAAAAGTAAGAGAATTTATTTTTGTTAGTGTGAGACTTACTATTCTTACTCTGATAGCAGAAGTCCTCAAAATAGAGGGAGGGTGAACATTTTGTACTTTCTAAAAGCAGAAATATTTAGTTAGCAGCAATGTTGCCAAACCAGCTGCATTGTTTTATGGTCAGAGTTCAGACTGAACTGGAAACAGCTTGGAGCTAAAAACGGCATGAACCTTAGTTTACATTTGAAATGGAGGTTTGCACGAAACGCATGCTGTAAATCCTTTTGTAAAGCCATATTCTTTTGTGATTATGGTAAACTGTGGCAGGTCTGTTTGGAAAACATTTTATAAACCCTCAGGTTCCAACAGCAAAAATGAAAAGATAATCTGATCAAAAAAAGCAACACTTTTATTTATAAAAAATAAATAAAATAACAAGCCTTATTTTAAAAATTTCAGTTCAGTCATTTTGTACCAGAACGTAAAACATCAGCAAATTAAAATATGCTAACATCATTTAATCTATCACCAGAGTAAAGTGGTTGACAACATGCCAAAAAACAAAACAAAAACAATGCTGTCTGTCTGTTAGATGTACATAAAACATTGCTTTTAATTTTATGTTGTGTAGTTTTTATTTTATTCCGTATCTCAAGTAACTTATTGAAATGATGTTATTGTCTCCATCTGTTTGTCCTTTAGAGGTTCAATTGACTGTGTTCAGCTCATAAATGAGGAGCACATGATAACAGGAGCAGATGATGGGTAAGAGATTTCATCCTCTCATTCATGCTCTCACCCAGCCATTGTTAGGTTTGTACCAGAATAATTTGTTCCTCTTTTATGATCTCTTTACCTTTTCTAAACAACCTCAGCTCAGTTTCTCTTTGGAGTGTCAACAAGAAGAAGCCCCTCAGCACGGTGAAGCAGGCTCACGGCTGCCATGGTGATGCAGGGATGGAGCAGCCTCATTGGGTGGCCTCAGTAGCAGCTCTTCAGAACTCGGACACTGTAGCCTCAGGTGCCTCTGGCTGTGAGAGTCCTCTCCACAATCTTTCCTAATAGCCAAACAATATGCTTTTACCTCACTACAGTGGTGCTCTACAAACAGATCCATTTAAAATGTATAGTCATGAAAAAAACATTGGGCCACCAATAAAGGTATTTGTATTTCTAACATGTGAATATTTAATTTAAATATTTACAAACTAGAAATAATCAGATGTTTTAAATTAATAAAAACTTAAGAAACATGTAATACATGTTCTGGTAGTAAGTTTGAACATCCCCACATGTATTCTCACAATGACTAGAACCACAGAGGGGTATATTGCACATTAAGCACAAAGTACACAATAAGTAAATCTTTATCCATCATCATAAAGGAGAGATACCTTGTTCAAACCTGAAATATTTAACTTTGTGTTACTCCCAAGTGTTAAAATTAAAGTGAAGATAATGAGTTTAAAACATCTGTCTTTGACTTTTAGTAGGAAGGTTGCAGAAGCAAATAAGGTGACCCTTATGGCAGAGAACAAGGTGTTAGTCTAAAATGATTGAATGATGTTCTTATATTGACAATTATTTGACCATGTTTGGCCTAAATAACATTATAAAACGTACCCACTGTGAAACATGGGTGTAGAACTGTCATGGTTTGGACCTGGCCAGGTCCCAATCAACGAAACAAACGCAATTCCTTTTCCACGTATCACAAGATGCCTCGGAACAAAATTTAGAGGCCAAGAAATTCTTAGAGCATGTGTTAAAGTAATGAAGTCAGTAGGAAGGGAAGCTTTCCTCACAATGTCAGGCATCAGGTTTGAAGACTAATACCCATTTCAATGAGAATATCTTTATTTAACAGGTTAAGCTTAAGTATTAAGGATATTTTATTCTTAGCTAGAGTGTTTTTAAGCCATAAGCTGTAATAAATGTTTTTTTCTAAAACAAGGAGTAAATAGAAATTCAAATCTTTATGCAGATGTTTAATTAGGAGGAATAGAGTGTTTATTGGGACGTCTCATATGACCCCATAACTTTTAAATAATGTGGTTGGTTTTATGGATGGATGCGTTTCATGTAACAACTTTTTTTTTTTCTGTGCAGGTTCTCACAACTCACAAGTCAATGTATGGAAATGTGGCCAGAACTTCCGCCGGCTGGAGCTTTTGTTTAGTGTGCCAGTGGTAAGATCAGTTAACCTCCTCCCCTGTTGAAGATATTAAGAGTAAAAAAGAAAATCTATCAAAAAAATGTATGCATTAGACCTCTTAAGACCTGATTTTGTCTCTGCATGTCTGCTTTTTCCCACCTTTAAAATAATTTGTTTTTCATTTTCGTCTTGATTTTATACAGGTTTTCTCTTTGAGATCCAAGATACAGGTGCTGGTCATAAAATTAGAATATCATGAAAAAGTAGATTGATTTCAGTAATTCCATTTAAAAAGTGAAACTTGTATATTATATTCATACATTACATACAAACTCATATATTTCAGATGTTTATTTTGTTTAATTTTGATGATTACAAATGACAACAAATGAAAATCTAAAATTCATCATATCAGAAAATTAGAATATTACTGAAGACCAATAAAAACAAAGGATTTATAGAAATGTTGGCCAACTGAAAAGTATGAACATGAAAAGTATGAGCATGTACAGCACTCAGTATTTAGTTGGGCCTCCTTTGGCCTGTATTACTGCAGCAATGCGGCGTGGCATGGAGTCGATCAGTCTGTGGCACTGCTCAGGTGTTATGATAGCCCAGGTTGCTCTAATAGTGGCTTTTAGCTCTTCTGAATTGTTGGGTCTGGTGTATTGCATCTTCTTCTTCACAATACCCCATAGATTTTCTATGGGGTTAAGGTCAGGAGAGTTTGCTGGCCAATTAAGAACAGGGATACCATGGTCCTTCAACCAGGTACTGGTAGCTTTGGCACTGTGTGCAGGTGCCAAGTCCTGTTGGAAAATGAAATCTGCATCTCCAAAAAGTTGGTCAGCTGCAGGAAGCATGAAGTGCTCTAAAACTTCCTGGTATGTGGCTGCGTTGACCCTGGACCTCAGAAAACACAATGGACCAACACCAGCAGATGACATGGCACCCCAAACCATCACTGACTGTGGAAACTTTACACTGGACTTCAAGCAACGTGGATGAAGTGCCTCTCTTCTTTTCCTCCAGACTCTGGGACCTTGATTTCCAAAGGAAATGCAAAATTTACTTTCATCAGAGAACATGACTTTGAACCACTCACCAGCAGTCCAGTCCTGTTTCTCTTTAGCCCAGGCAAGACGCTTCTGACGCTGTCTGTGGTTCAAGAGTGGCTTGACACAAGGAATGCGACAGCAGAAACCCATGTCTTTCATACGTCTGTGTGTGGTGGTTCTTGAAGCACTCACTCCAGCTGCAGTCCACTCTTTGTGAATCTCCCCCACATTTTTGAATGGGTTTTGTTTCACAATCCTCTCCAGGGTGCGGTTATCTCTCTTGCTTGTACACTTTTTTCGACCACATCTTTTCCTTCCCTTCGCCTCTCTATTAATGTGCTTGGACACTGAGCTCTGTGAACAGCCAGCCTCTTTAGCGATGACCTTTGTGTCTTGCCCTCCTTGTGCAAGGTGTCGATGGTCGTCTTTTGGACAACTGTCAAGTCAGCAGTCTTCCCCATGATTGTGTAGCCTATAGAACTAGACTGAAAGACCATTTAAAGGCTTTTGCAGGTGGTTTGAGTTAATTAGCTGATTAGAGTGTGGCACCAGGGGCCATCAATTTTGAACCTTTTCACAATATTCTAATTTTCTGATATGATGAATTTGAGATTTTAATTTGTTGTCATTTGTAATCATCAAAATTAAACAAAATAAACATCTGAAATATATGAGTTTGTATGTAATGTATGAATATAATATACAAGTTTCACTTTTTAAATGGAATTACTGAAATCAATCTACTTTTTCATGATATTCTAATTTTATGACCAGCACCTGTATGCTTTACAAGAGAGACCTGTTTTGATTAAGAACTAACAGAATTACAAACACGGCAATAAAAAAATGTCCACTTCGTTTAAATAAGCTAATGAAAGTTTTTATTAATTTTTTTTTTTTTTTTCAATAAACAGAAATTTCCTTCATTAAGAGCAATCTTCTAAGAAGAATGTATTCAATCGACTTTAAGTCTCTTTATATAATTTTATTAAATTAACCATGTATATATGTTGGTATACTTCTCTTGCAAAGCTGTAAATTGGATTGTTTTGTGTAACTTATTTTATAGAAAATGCACACGCCTGCAAAGCCTTTCCCATAAACAGTACAGCAGTGTATTACAAGTGAACACAGCTGTTTAGACCCCCTTCAACATGACTATATAAATACAAATTTAAATATTAACATTAGTCACTTGTAACCTTCTCTTGCCTTCAAGGGGTTCAATATGTTTTGTCTTTCTTCCCTTTTCCATGTTTTAGTCTGGTTTCATCAACAGTCTGAAGTTTTCAAGCTCTGGGCAGTTCTTGGTGGCTGGAGTTGGACAGGAGCACAGGTACCAAACTAGAATACAATTCCAGTACAGGGACATGTTATTTCGATGCACATCCTGTAGATGGCAGTAATGAATCACTGTTGCAAAAATACAAATGCACCAAGCTCTTTGACACCTAAAAGACAGGAGAACAGTGGCGTGTAACTGGCGGGTTGTCAGTTTGAGCCCCGAATCTGTTGTTTTAGGCAGGCAGGCAGGTTACTTCACCCACCTTTCCTGCTGATGGTATGGCAGCCTTGCCACCGTCAGCCTACCCCAGGGACGCTGTGGCTACATTTTAGTTTGGTGCCGTCAGCATTTGAGTGTGTGTAAATAGATGAAAGTAGTGCAAAACACTTAAGTGTCCTTGGACATTAAAAAGCCCTTAACTATTACAGGCCATTTAAAAAAATAAAATAAAAAAACACACAAGTGCAAACCCCTTTCCTGTAGAAATACTGATTACTCTTTCAGAGCATGTTCATATTTGACTCTGGATGTTTTGTGTTGTCAATAATAGTTTGTGAAGTTTTGTGAATTATATTCTGTAACTTGTGTTTTGTGCACAGGTTGGGACGATGGTGGAGATTGAAAGAAGCCAAAAATGGGATCTACATCATTCCTCTAAAACGAAAACCATCTAATGCAGAAGAAGATAAACACCCAGAATAATAAACGTTTGTTGTAAATTATATGTTTAAAGCTGAGTGTAAATTCCTTAGTTTTTTTTTTAAAGCTGTTTGAAGAACCTGAAGGGTATTTATTTAGTGACTAGCCGTGACTTCCCCTGTGGTTGCTGTTTTTAGAGAAGTGCAGCTTCCACCTCTGAAAGAGTCACAGCCTTGTGGGTGAGATCGGTTGTGCTGGATGGATGAAAGGTGTGAAGAGGCTGCATTGTAGGAGTTCTGCTAAGAAATACTTTTTGTATTCCAGTCCACGGCACCTGCATCTCTTTAGGTTATTCAGAGTCAAATACAAACAAGGTTTGAACTTTCAGGAGATTTTATGTTGATGAGCTTTTTCAAGTTCTTTTTTTTTTTTTTTTTTTTTTTATTCATTAAAGTAAAATACAAAAGAGAAATACTTTAAACAGATGAAGGTGTCTCATTTCCTTGACTCCAAAGTTTTTGAAGTAATTAATGGTTGAGCGTAATGTTAGAAGTTAGTATTAAGCTTTTTAAGCTAATTGGGATCAAGCAAAAAACCTCAGTTTCCTTTTCTTAGATGTATGTACTCTAACTAAATGTTGCTTGTTAGTGTCTCTTTAGCAGTGTTACTTGCTATTTTTTAAATCTTCATACATTTTACACATGTTTGGTATAAAGGAGTTTCTTCCCAAGCAGATAGTTTATCAATGGTGATAGTGCTAGTAGATCTCCTTGAAATTTAGCTGCAGTTTGATCTATTAAAGGGGTTTTCATAGTTTCAAAAAGTATTTAATCTTGGGGTGTTTTGAAAGTATAAATAGGCCTACATCACTGCAACTAATAACTGATTGTGAGGAAAACTTCCAGAGGACAAATATGTTGCACACTTAATGGACCAAAAGGAAATGGTTTCACCAGTTATGACTTTCATGCTGTTCCTTTTTGGTATTTATTTGGTAAATAAAAGCATGAATCTGAATGACAACTGATGATTTTAATGTTGCAGAGCGGTGGTTATAAAGTAGAGGATTGCGGTTGTCTTAACTGGGCCTCTTGCTTAATTGATATCTATTCACCCTCATGCTAATCTTCCTCTCGGTTATATGTGTGCTTGTTACATTTCATATTTTAATACTATTGGTGGGTACTTTTATTAAAATGTGAAAAGGGGTAATATTAACCCCTTGGCACCAATTGTTGCATATATGCAACAAAGTCTGTATTACTAAGATACCATGTGCATTACCTCAGTGCCAGTTGTTAGACATTCAGTGAACAGGGACCTTTGGCAAGGTCTTGTTTTTGTTACATCTGGCCCCTAACAGTATGTTTTTATATTTATTTTTTTTATATTTATGTTTTTAGATTCATTTGACAAAGTGCATACTGACTGGCTGAAAGAGAAATTCTTCAACATTGTTTGGACCAATTCAGAGATTCATAGGCAGTCTAGATTCTGTATGCAAATGGAGCTGAGAAGCATGTTGGCTTGGACAGCATGTATGAGGATGTCTCTACTTAAATCTAATAACTGCATACCATAAACCAGTTTTAAGACACTGATAGATTTGTTAAAGAGGAAATGCCATCAAAGTGGTGTCTCAATGAATTGATACCTGAAAATAAACCAGTTGATCAGCAGTATTTTGGTTCTAGGCCAGCAAGATTAAAGTCATGGACTTTACAGACACATCAAAACCTTAATCCAATAAAAATTTATGGGATGAGACCCAAAAAGCATTTCTTTTCTAAGATTAAAAGAAATGCAAAGGAATTGTGTGCTTGAATACCTCTTTAAAGGTGCCAAAAGTTGTTCGACTTTGGACAAAGAACTAAAACGATTTTTTCCTTAATAATTCTCAGGAAAGCTATTGGACATCCTTAAGCCTTTTTTCAGTTTATATCAAATTTTGAGGTTAAAAGGAAAAATAGACAACCAGCTTTTTTTCAATAAAACATCTCCCCTCATATAGGACAAAAATTGTCAATGTTTTGATTTGGTAAATAACAGCAACTGTCTTAATCCATTTATGTGTTTGAAAAATAAAAGTCTTTACCAGAATTAATTTATTTTTCTGCATTTTTTTAAAAGCAGCAATCAAAAGGTCTAAATCAGGGCTGGAAAGAGTGTAGCTAAAATGATTATCAGACATTCAGCCTCTCCATGATGAAACAGTTTTGCAGGTAAAAATGACCTATAGTTTAGTCCTGGTCAAATGAGTAAAAATGTTTTTTTTTTTACCAGATCTATGGCTGATTCTGCCATGGGAGATAACAATGAATTTAGACCTAAATACTGACTTTAAAAGCTGAGTAAAACCTGGAATCAGTAAATTAAGGTACAATGTGTCTTTGTACGGTACAAAAGAAACCGTTGACCTATTTGATGTCAGAAGCTGTGATATTAGTTTATGATATTGACAAACCTAAGCTGCACCACCTCCTTTTGTGCTTGGTATAAAAGCCTCTGCTAACACGACACACATTGGGCCTCATGCAAGAGGCATTTTCTGAGAAAATATGTCTTAAGTCATTCGAAAAATTGATTTAGGAGAAAATGTCTCATCAGTTTTCTCCTATTTCTAATCTCTGCTCTACACTTGAAGAAAGAGCCTTGTGCACTCATCGGTTGTTATCCAAACCTAGTTTTTCTCTAAATGACCAAATTTGTGTTACCTATAAGCAATTGTCCATTTTATTAGGCTACATCATTATATATTGTGCATGTCTGCAATTGTAAATTACAATTTTATTCCCTGATGACAAAACTATTGGTTGCTACTTAAAGCTGGCATGTTGTATCAGGGGACTCTGGCTTAATTTGTTATCATTTCGTCATAGTCAGTATAGTCATAGTCAGTGAGCTCTATGTGAGATCAAGCTACTATTGAAATAACATCTTGAGCAGAGAATTGCTAAAAAGTTCAGAACGAGGTTCACCTGCTCAAAACATTTGCATGTTTATGCGTTGTATGAGAATGATGGAGAGTGTGATGAAGGAAGACAGACGTGGTCTGGAGATGTACAGATTTAGCAGATTGTTGTGTCCTATTAAGCATTTACATAATGTTGCACCTCTTGCCCCCACAAGTTTTTTTGTTGAATGTTTTCAGATCAAATTATTTTAATTATTAGTTTTATGTATTTATTTTTGCTTCTGCAGTGCAAGCAATGCATTTACAGCTCTTGTTATTTATTCCCCACTTCTTGGCTTTTTCTGGTCCTTTAATTCTGCAGCTCAGCAGAACATCGACCTCCATACCCGTAAGTTTGTCTTCTTCAGTTTCGATGTCTTTTCTGTGAATAAACACTTGACAAGTGTAGGAAGATGTACCTTTTAAAAAGGTACAACTTCTTGATGCACGCTCACCTATGCATAGATGGATTGCATCATCTTAACAATGATTTACGATCATTTACTGAAGTTAAGAAAGTATGTGTAATCTGATATGGGACATAGGAACCCATGTCTAAATCTATGATAGGAGAAATAGTAAGATACACTTATGACAAGAATACAAACATGTTGTTGCACAAGCTCCATTGTCTTTGCCCGCTGAGGCTCCAAGGCAGCCACATTGAGTAGCTGGAAGCATAGTGTCAACCAATCAGATAAACACAAGACAGACACTATGTGCAGGCAGGATCTTTGCTTCTCCAGAGCTGTCAGAAATAAAATAAGTACTCCAGCTTCCTCCAACAGTCTAAGAACATGACTGTTGGGTTAACTGGCATTTCTAAATTGCTCTTTAGGTGCTTGAGTGTGTGTGCATGGTTGTATGTGTCTATGGACTGCTGTAGATAGTGTTGTTTTTGACAGCCATCTTAGATTTTGTCTTAGTCTTCAGGACGAAAACTGTTATTAGTCCTAGTCACATTTTAGTCATTACAATATGTGATAGTTTTAGTCTGTTTTAGTTGACTAAAACTTAAAAAGGTTTTAGTCTAGTTTTTGTCAGTTTTGTGTTGCAGAATAAAAATTAACCTTTACAATGTTGAATAACAACCAGATTCTTAACCAGCTCTGAATAATATAGCTCTGAAATCTTCCGTGAATTGCTGTTAAGTGTTGCTAAACTGCAGGCAGTGAAGAGCTGCTAAATAAGGGGCACCTTCTAGCTGAGCCTCTGATGAAAGTACCATCCCATGTAGTTCTTCTTAGCTGCTGACTAGCTAGTTAAACTGTTGACACTTCAGTCTCACAAACTGTAGATTCTGTGTGAAGTAGTCTTTGATCAAGGTGATTAATGAGGGCCTCCTCAGGAGTAAACTAAGTAAATTACCAAGTAGATGAGATATAATCGTTTTAACATGGAGAAATAAAAACCTGATCATCACAGTGCTGTTTGCATAATTTAAATGAAAGTAGTTTTTGTTGAAGCAGATGTATGATAGAATCTTCAAACCCAGCTTAATTGCAATAAGCTATAAGATAGTGTCTTGTTTGCTTGCTCAAGTTGACCAAAATAAATTTCTCTGAGACTTCCATTATATGCAATGACAGGGCAACAGGTCTATAGTCATTGAGAACTAAGTTTTCTTTGGTACTGGAAGAAGGCAGAAAATCTTCCAGATTTGGAACTTTCCTCTGCGTCAGGCCAAAGGTGAAGTGGTGTAGAATTCCACAGAGCTTCAGCGAGTGTCTTGCGGTATGCCTTCTTGCTTTCTCTAATCGACCTTAAGTTGCTTTTGTATATTCCTCAGTGGGGACGGTGTTATCTACGGTGTTATCTTTATATTGTCAGTCACACACTCAGTCATTGCATTGACGTTCTCTTCATATGGCTGACACAGTGCGTCCAAGTCTCTAGCCCAAAAACAACCTTGCAGGGTTTCCTCAGCTTCCTGTGACCTTTTTCTTACATCTTCTTTATTACAGGTTACCTCTCATAAAGTGGCTTATGTTCTAATTCCGTAAAAATTCAAAAAAAATTTGTATGAATCCTTGACATATAATAAGGTTTGTTTTCTGTGGTATAGCATCTGATACTGGGTGTGTAGCAGAGAGTGTGGCGCAATTAAAATCACGTGTTATTGCTCCACATGTATTATGTTGTTATGTCTGTAGCTCAGCAGCAACAGAACTGTTGACATCACATGCAGTGTTGGCAAAAGCAGATTGAGCAATGTAAACAGCTGTGATGTAAACTTTCTGGGTAAATAGTATATGTGAAAACCAGAGATGGGAAGTAACGAAGTACAAATACTTTGTTACTGTACTCAAGTAGATTTTTCTGATATTTTTACTTTACTTTACTACTTATTTTTATGGTGACTTTTTACTTGTACTCCTTACATTTTTACACAAATATCTGTACTTTCTACTCCTTACATTTTAAAAAATTGGCTCGTTACTTTAGTTTTGAATCATTTCAATGGAGTTACCGTTATTATTTTTCACGTCATCAATACCAAATTCAATCTAATTGGATGGGAATCTACGTTGCATTTGACGCACCACTACAAGATGAATCGACAGATTCGGCTGTATTCATTTGCGGCAAATCATTGCAGCTTGGTGGCGGTGGCGTTAGCATAGTAGTATGGACGACGAGATGATTGAAAATGAACACAACGGAGATTTAGTCCTATTGGCAGACATCCATTTAAAATGTAGGCAACGGCATGAAAAAAGTGGTTTCTACTTTTACTTTAAGTAACTTTACAAGCCTGTACTTTGTTACTTTTACTTGAGTAAAGAAGTTTAATCAGTACTTCCACTTTTACCAGAGTATTTTTTAACACAAGTATCTGTACTTTTACTCAAGTACGGAAAGTGAGTACTTTTCCATATCTGGACAACAGAGTTGAAATTTCACAGTAACATGTACAGGATGAAACCATTTGTTGTTCACAAGGATTGCCAACCCACCTTCCTTGATTTTTCAGCCTTCTTTAAATCTCCATCTGCTTATAAGGTCAGAATGCCTGGCAGAGAGACATGGAGTCAGGGATATGATCATGCAGCCCTGTTTCTGCAAGATACTGCATTTGCAATATATTGCCAGGGTCCTTGCTAGGGCTTGGAGTTCTTCTAACATGTTTCCTAAAGATTGCACATTAATAATTGTTGATAGTTTAAGATGATTTGTATTTCCTCCTCCTCTCTCTTCTCCTTGACCTTGCCCTGCATCCCTTGTGCCTCCTTTTTGCATCAACTGTGACTTGTGGAAGTAGCATTTTTTTTTTTTAGACTAAGATGTTATTGAGTTGCTCCCAGGTGTAAAAAAAAAAAAAAAAAGTTGGTTAAACATCATAACAAATATCCAGAAATGAAAACATAATGGCAAAAATCATTTTATCTGCACAGCATCCAATTTATTTTAAACAATTCTATTTACACTATAACTATCCTATTACTTCAGATTGGATGTGTCAGAGATACACATTATCATTATAGATTAAGAAGATGAAATGGTAGAGAAAAATAATTCCGCCATCAATTTTTTTTGGTTAACCATCTGAGCAAATTTCTTAAAGAAGCTTAGAAAAACTAATTAAGAAGGAAATGAATTCCTTCCTGCCTATAGCAATTGGCATCTCCAAGATCTCGTTAAAAGAAAACTATAACACTTAAGCATTTATTCTCCTTTGGGATCAATTACGTATATTTTAATTGCTTTTTTATTTAGAAATATTTAGGTACAACTCGAAAAAAACAGGACTGTTATCTCTGTATAGATCAGTTTTAAATGTACAACAGTTGTTGCTAAATAGAGCTCTAACAGAAATTGACATCCAATCACAATAATTTATATTGCCACATCTATTGTACCCATGTGTTTGTTCTGGTGAAATAGTACACGAGGGGAAAAAGACTAGAGGATTGCAACTTTGGGTTTGAATAAAATTACGTTTTTAATTAAAAAACAACATATTATTTACATTAATTACAAGAAAGCACACACTTTTAAGCTATTCTACAGTAACACATGTCCTTTATAGTGTCTAGTTTTCATTATCCTCTATGGTAAATCACACAATTTGCTTAAATAGAAGGGCTAAATTCACTTCAAAGCATTTATTTAACAATGTCTATAACATCTGGATATGTTCACAACACTGTAAGGACAAGATAAGAACAGCATTTTGTATTACACTATTGCTTCACAAACCACCCATTTCACAATACGACTCTTTAAAGACAAGGCACAGTGCAGGTAATCACATCTATCTGTAAACCAAAGGAGATCACAGCATTTAAAATCTATACAAGAAAATGCTTTACAGTTGTTACATACTGCTCGAAACGGAAACATCTTTTAGCTTTTCACAGTTAGAGTTCCTCTCGTTGCTGTCATTCTACCCTGACTCTTATCTCTCTGCAACATGGGAGATGTCAAGGGAAGGGAAGGCCTCTTCCTCATATTCAGGCCCTTGTTTGATGGAAGGACGACGGATGATTAGGATGGTCTCTTGTGCTTTAAGAGGGACTTTTCACAAAGATGAAGTTGTAGAGTCCACCACCTCACGGCCATTACAAACAGCTGGAACATAGTTGGAGGCTGATCCTGTTAAAATCAGTAGGGTGTTAGCCAGAGTGGGGATATTAGCCAGGAGACATGTTTGATTTACTTCTCTTTTTACTGATAAGAAGAGGTTTGAAAGAGATGAAAGCTGTGAGTAAAAAGGGGGAAATGGGCATGAGGTATTATTAAAAAAGCTATTAGGTTTTAGGATGTTATGTTTTGTTTTTTGTTTTTTTATAGAGGACATTAGGACCAGTATGTAAATTATGAAACAGTGTTTGCAGGTTAACATATCCACCTTCATTTAATGTAGCTAAAATCCAACTCGACCAGGCAAACCTGTAAAATAACAGATAAATGTGAAAATCTTTTAATCTTTCAAAACCGACCCCTGAATTAGGCAGGGTTTACCATATGACAGCAGGTACAATCATTGATTGAAGGGAATATTTTCATTTCAATTATTCTTACTTAATACAGGGGGAAGGATGATTTGATATAGTCTCTTAAAAAAAAAAAAAGGTATTTCCCTTAAAATTTTTCACAGTACAAATGCAAAATACACAGAATTTTATTAGGAATTAACAAGAATACATAAAAAAGTGATCAAATGGATATAAAATTGAACATTTTTTAAAGGTTTCTATAAATTCAAAACATTTCTAATGCTGTATGCATTTTGATTCACACACCTTAAGTGTATCAACTTAAAGTTTTTAAATAAAGCACTAACTTGTACGTGCACTTTTTAGTACGTGCAATAAGTGGCAGTGATGCAGGTGATCTACTAAGATTGCGGCGCAAATGTTAAGGTGTGAACCAATGTGATTCCGCCCATTAAAATATTCTCCTGACAGTTTGAGAGTGGTTTGAAGGTTCAAAGGCATGAAAACAAAGGAAATAAAGATAAATGTTGAAAAAAAAAAATAATGATGATACAAAATTATATTTATATCACGCCTCAGCCTCTCTTAAAGTGCTAGAAATAAAAGAGAATAAAACATAACTATGGCTACATCTTATTATATAGAGCGGGAGGAAAAATTCCCTGTTGCTGAGAGATGCTCTTGTCTTGCTATATGGGGTGAGGGCTGGGTGTCTTCTCCTATTGACTTCTATTTATTTTTAGCTGATTTTGACCCTTTCTATGCCCTAAGCCTGACAAAAAACCTTAAACCTAAACTAAACTAAATTTACACCTCAGCACTAAACCTTACCCCTTCCAAATTTCCTCACTTCACAATAATAGAACATCAATTTGATGGTGAAATCAGTAAAAATATCATGATTTTGGCATTCACCTATCTAGCTCTGCCCTGTTTCCCATCACTTATCAGATCTACCTGTTCTGGTTTCATATTTAAGCTGCCAATTTCCCAGCCATCTCTGCCAGATTATTCATGACCATTTGGTGCTAAGAGTTCTCTAGCGTTACTATAGTGTTCGGATTGTCTGATCCTGATCTGTTTCTTTATTTGGGTCTTTGAGCCTTCCTGCCCCTGTTTGATCTGTATGCCTGCCTGTCTTCGGACACCTGTCGGATTCCTCTGTGTCCTGAACCTGGATCTGCCTCTTGACTTCGCCCTCTGGATTATCATGTCTTCCTTCGTCAGCTCGGATCTGGTCTCCTGTCAGCTCTGCAGCCTTCTAGGCTTCTGCATCTGGAACTCTCTGGCAGCGTCTGCTGTGTCTGTTCAGTCGAACCAGCTGGAATCATACTTGTTCTCTGGGCACGAACTGAACTGTCAAACCAGGTTAGTGACTCATGTGTTCATAATCATCCTCTGTCAGAGTATCGCAGTCACTAACCTGTGTTTCTCTACGATAGACGTTCCTGCCTCAGACGACCTAGCCACTGCAGCCGCTGCCACTGCAGAATCGATCCGTAGTTATTTGAATAAATGCTTTTTAAGAATTCCACTGTCTGTCTTGCCTGAATTATGGGTCCCACTTTCTGAGCCATTACAAAAAAGATGGTCCTCACTCTGATGCCAAAACAGGAGCACGCACACGTCTCTTTGCAGGCTCTTGATATTTCGTTTTTCATACATTTTCCACAATATTTAAGTTCAGTCATTGTTTTTAGGTCTGATTCAATTTTACAAAGATGTTTGCCATCCTGCTAGATTAATTTAGGCAGGTCCATATACAGTTTTGTTTAAAAAATATTATTCTACTGTCATTTTCACTGTCAAAATATGTTTACATGCGCATAGAATAGCTCACTTTCCTCTGGCATTGTACCAATGTCTTCTTTTGTAGAAACATTGAGGGCAGATATTTTTGCGTCTCAGCTTTTACGTGACATTCAGAAGCAATGAAAAAAAAATGCAACAAATGTTGGCAAAGTTAAGTTTCATTTTTGGAAAAGTACTTTGCAGGTGTAAATATTTCCATTTCAATATATCCTCCACTAATGAGTTTGCGCAATTTGGTCATTAGAATGTGATCTGCATATTGATGAAGGTCTGCTCTGTGCATAAAAACACGTTTGCACCTTTTTTAAGACACACAAACCTTCTGAATATCGGACCCCCAGAGACTGAATTCTTTGCCTGCACTGGCAAACACATCACTGGAACTGTCTGCCATATGCTATGGACCCCAATGCTACAGGTTCTCTATCAAATTTGTTCTGACTGGACCACTCTAACACTGAATATACTTTTATCTACACAATTCCATTATACTTCTGGCTGTATTTATAGGATGCTTGTAGAGCTAGAAGAAGAACTTCCATACAACTCTTAAGTCCTTTACTTCCATACCAGCACTATTCAGTAATGAACTTGTCCATCTTCCTAAGAGCTCCTATTCTTGCAAGAGAAATGCCTTATTGCTTTAAGAAGTTGTTGTGCACATCATAACAACAACAACATCTTGTTTCATAGGATTCAATTTTTATATAATGTTTTAAATACACCTTTTTTACATGTACTGTTGTTCCGTTCCTCTATATATTCATATGGCTTGTGGTCATTCTTAAACAAGGCCTCATATGGCTCTTTTTCATCAGTTGCTTTTTTCTTACAGCTGTCCGGTCAATAGCTTCTCCCAGTTTAATTGTGAATTTCTGTAATTCCATCTAGAGATACAGGAGTAAAAGAAGCTAATTTAAAACACAAACTATGTTTTCCAGATTGGTTTTATAAAAGTAATGGAGAGTCGTGACTAATTTTCCTCCCACTTAAGAATGATTTGCTGTCTGTTTTTGCAATATGACAAAATGTGATAAACTCAAAGTTCATGAAAAACTTTTGCAAAGTACTGTGACTTAACCTTTGACAAAAACTTACCTGGCTCTTTATCCAATTTAAACAGCAACACCACAACAAGCCTAACTTGATTTTTTTTAATTCTACATTTAAAAGTTTCATATGCACCTTTCTGTTTGTAATATTTTTTCACTACAACATTTGTGAAATTAAATTAATTGGCCTCAAAGTTGCTTTTAACTTTACAGACTATAAATTAAAAAAAGCTACCCAGAGCTGGATAAACACAGGATCTGCCACCCAGAACCATGTAAAGCTACCTAATCAAAACCCAATATCTCTGTTTTGTAATCTGCTGGGAAATTTCTCGGCTGGCTGAATGGCAAGGATCACTGGCTTATTTAAATCGCTGCTTACTACCTAGAAAGCCATTATTGTTTGTAAACTCATTTCACAAATGAAGTGCCACATAATGAGTTTTAAATGCTGATATGGGTGAATTTTTTTCTGCTGTGAAAGTTGTTTTTTGTACTGAGTTAAGCTTTTCTTTCACTGAATGGGACTTTCTTGCAGATATTATAATTTCATTTTACTGAATTAAGCAGTAGATTTAATTCTAAATAAACCCTAGTGAGACACTACTACTTAAGTGGTAGTTCCAAAATAAATTGTCCAAACCCTATTTAAAGATAAGGGATATGTTTGAATTTTAGAAAGCTTTTATTTAAATTAGCTTCTCTTCAGATTATTAGTTATTTTCAAACTGCTTAGTTAAGATTAATTAAAAGAGATTAAAAAAAAATTTTTGTATGTACTTTATTTCGCACAATATTAAAGATTGCTTTATCCTCTGAAACAGAAGGATTTCATGTGGAAATATATATATATAACCATTAATGGCTTAAGTTATTCTAGGGTTGCCGAAGGACATACTTAACAGTTTTCTCTGTAGAAGTAAACCATGTGATGTATTTCAGCATACTTGTGAAATCATCTTAAAAAGAGCCCTTAATTGTTATCTCTGCCAAGAACTACAGGGTCACTTTCTATTTAACTCTGTCTCATTGGTAGACAATGCAACTGTTATCTGTTTGGAATCACCAATATTTCCATTTTTATCTAAGCCTTTTACATTAATCTGGTTCCAAGCAATCTATTTAAAGGAGTCTTGGATTAATTGTACATAAGTTATTCTACTTTAATCATATTATACACATTTGTTATCTCTATCTTACTTATATTACAAAGAGTGTTGAAAGCTGTTGAACTTTACTTGTTGTAAGCCTGTGCAGGAGGTTGCTGGGGTCAAAGCTGGGTTAATGTTGTGAAACTCGGAGAGCTGCGCAGAGTTGCACACACCGCAGAGTTGCACACACCGCATGTGGAAAGAAACTTTCCTTATCTTATGATGTTGTATGATGTTGTACGGAAATTCTGGTTTCAACTGGGTTCTGTGATCCCCTCCCCTTAGCGGTTGAGACCACATTGTAACCAGGGCGTTCCAAATAAAAAGCTTGGAAGACAGAGACTGCTTCAGAGTGGGTTGGAGGTTGTAGCTGAATGCAGTCTCTGATCCCCTCTCCTTGCAAGTAAATTATACTCAATTCTCTGTGTCTTTCTTTGTGCAGGTTGCTGAAAAAGGTGTTTGGTGTTTAAACCTAACAAGGAGTATTTCCTCTGATTTCCATCTTAATTTTAAATATGACTATCCCTAATTCAAGTATATGTAAGACAGTGTTTTAATGTAGCTGAAATTAAACCTTTACTAAAGAAACCTACTCTCGGTCCAAATAATCAATTATAGAGCTACATATAAACTTCCTTTCTTATCTAAAATTCTTTAGAATGTAGTTTTTAATCAAGTATGTGAGCACTTACAAAATATTTACCATTTTGAAGAGTTTCAGTCAGGTTTCATCATAGCACTGAAAAAGCACTGGTGAAAGTCACTAATGACATCCTATTGGCCTCAGATAAATTATTTGTACCTGCATTAGTCCTGTTAGATCCAAATGCTGCATTTGATACAGTCGATCACAATATTCTATCTATCATCTATCTACATATATATGCAGTTTTTGACCAACGCTATTTTTAAAAGAACCTTGCAAAGTTTACTTTATAAATTGCCCTTCATTTCGAGTGCGTGGATGCGTTGTCACTTGTTCTATGTGTAAACTTTTAAAAACCTTTTACAATCTTGTTTTCAAATTGTTCCTTAATTAAGAGTCACATCTCACTTTGTTTAGTGGGGTGCATGCTTTTACCTTTTGAGTAGCTGGAGCTGGGGGCTGAGGCAGACGTAGACACGGTGGCACTAAAGCGATTGGTTGTGACCCTAAGGGTGGCCACGTTTTTCTGGGGCTGGAACAGGATGATGTGGGTTTTTGGGGCAAAGAGGCAGCCAAGAACCACCGAACCACTCAGACTCACGGAGATACACATGGTGGTTGTCTGCACCTATACAAAGAGCGACACTTGGTGAGAAATATCAACATCAAATCTGTCTTCAAAAGGGCTAAAAAAGTTTGTTCAAAGGCGGCACTTCTCACACACACACCCAGTACACAGGCCTTTGATCAAATCTGTTCACTTGTAAATTTTATTTCCTGCTTAGATTGCTCACAAACTTTTAATCCAATCCCTAGATCTCCTTCTCACCCCTTTGATAGCTTGCTCAAAGGAATACAAGCAATCTGTTCACTTCCAAGAACCGTAAAATCAAACATGACCTGCATGTCAAAAGCATATTTAGTGTGAACATATGGATAACCAAATAGATCATTACTAGAAGACACCTCTGCAACCACTATTCTAATGACTGTTTAAAGAAAACAACAGCTGGTTTTCAACTAAAACTTAAATGATTCAAAGAAGAAATGCCTTTTTTCAAAAATAAAACATAAGTCTTCTACACCCTTTTTGTCAAATTGTTAATATTCCTCAATTATTCATCACTTTTCCAATTATGGATGAGTGCGAGGTCTTCAATTATGTATGTTAGCAATTCTAATTATGGATTTGAATGTGCATGAATATGAGGGCAAGAGGAAGAAGAATATGAGCTAAGCACAGCTGGCTTCCCAGACATTCTGTTGCTTTGTTGCATAGTCATATTTCAGCTGCTAATTTGAGCTGACACTGGGGTCATTGTCCTGAGCTCCACCTCTTCCCACCCACTGGTGAACCATGCAGTCCAGAAACTTATATTTGCAGCATGGAGTGAAAATGCTCCCAAACACACAGGGACAACAAAGACTGCTCAAATTTGGAAGTTGTTGTAGAGTTTAAGTTTCAAAGTCATATAGTAGGAATGCCATCAGGATAATCACTAATTAATACCATAATCTCTGTGTGCTGTAAAGATTTAGTTTAGTAAAATTGAGTTCATGTCATGTAATAAACAGTGTGAAAATGACTTTATTGTTTTCCTTTAAGTATTAGAAAATGGGTCAGCTCGCTTACTGATTTGATCAGACTTTATCGTTTTATTTTCAAAACTTTAAACTTACAGTTAACTCTTTTCATTTTATTTATTAACCTTTATTTGAGGAGATTTCTCCATTTAGCTTGTGTCAGACTTTGTACATTCATATGGCTGTCTTTTGAACAATGTCAATCTAATCTAATTTTGACCTTCAGGGTCGCTTTCACAATGTGAATCTTTTCTGGCCCACTTAAGTTCACTGTCATTTCCAAGCTCTTCAATTCAAAACATAGGCCAATTAGCTGAGCTCATTATTACATTTATAGGACACGAGCTTTAAATGCTTCTCTGCAGTTTTATGTCTTAATCTTTTAAAATTGATATTTGTACAGATAATATAACATTCTGAGACAGCCTCAGGTGGTACTTTCGTAACTAATGGAGACAGTCACCAGCCCACAGTTAAGACAATGATATAATATGGATAGATGTACGTCAGTCTAATTGGTACATCTCTACTGTTTCTTATTCTTCATTAGGAAACAATAATTGTGGAGACTACTGTGTGTAATATTTTCACAAATTGTTTCCAAAGTACTTAAATATCAGTTTATGCTTCAAATTGAAGAAGTGTTGTTATAAAGTTAATCTTAAAAAAAATTTTTTTTTTTTACCTTGTTTCATATTTATAAGCATCTGTCTCCAAACCCTTTGTTTTTCTATTAGAAGGCAATTAAATAAAGGGAAAAGAAAACATCCCAAGAATTTGGGAGATCAAGATCAAAAGCAATCTTCTAAATCAAAGAGAGAAACCTGCAAAGATCAGTCATTAGATGATCTTAAGATCTATTTACTGCAGTGCACCACAGTAGCTTCATGAAACACATCTTAAATACTTCATTCTCACTCATAAAAAAATTATTGCGCGCATATTTACCCTGTAGTCACTGGCGGTGACATAGAATATGGGCTGAAAAGCCAGCCAGATGATGCAGGTGGTGTACATTGTAAACCCAATGAACTTGGCCTCATTGAAGTTTTCAGGGCACTTCCTTGTCTTGAAGGCGTAGACTGTGCAGAGGATGATGAGAATGCAGTTGTAGGTGAGGGACAAAAGCATGCTGCTGTCTTTGCTGTTACACTTCAGGATAACCACATTTCTCCTCTCTGCACTGATCTCCTTCCGAACCCCAGGCACCTCAACGAGTAGCCAGATGATTGCCACCAGCAGCTGGCAGGAGATTAGAGCACCACATATCACCACTTGGGATGCCGGGCTAATGAAGCGAGGCCGCTGAGCTCCGTCTTTCACTCCACTGAAGATCCGAGCAATACGGTTGGTCTTAGTTAGCAGGGCTGAGTAGCATACAGCAAATGAGGTCCCCAGGCCGAGCCTTCGTAAGGTGCAGACAGTAGTGGAAGGTTTAGCAATGTAGATGAAGGTTATACTGTAGCACATTAGAACTCCAAACAAGAGGATGTAGGACAGCTCACGTCCACTTGCTTTGACTACAGGTGTTTCATTGTTCTTAAAGAAAATACCAACAACTGTCAGAGTGCACAATATGCCAAGACAGGAGATAGTAACAGGCCCGATAGCCCAGGCATCCTCCCAGCGTATGTATTCTTCAGGAAGATCATAACACCCCGTCAAATTAGCCAAAGGCCACTGACCAAAGCTGCAGTCAGCACAGGTGAACTCATCTTGCAGGTACTGGTAGGGCTGGCATGGAATACAGATCCAGCAGCACACATCTCCAGGCTGCATGCTCTTCACCTCATTCTTCCTGCATGGATCGCTACACTGGGAGGTGGGAGGCACAAGGCCATGCCAAGGTACCACGCTGGTGTTCAGGGTCAATATATGGTCCCAGTAGCCAACTTTCTTGTATACAAACTTGCCCTCTTCTTTGTGGTAGTGAAAGATGTTATAGCGACTGATGCTGTCCCCTACTGAATCAAAGCGTACCATGCTCTCTGTATCCACTGGTCTGAACGGAGCTGGTGGGAAACAAACAGACAGCAATGCTTAAAGCTATTTACAATACTGATACAGATATAGAGTATGATTTATAATTTGCATTATATTTCTCAGTACAGAGGTATTTACCATGAGATATAAGTACTATAGGTGCCTTGGAAATTGAATCCGTTTAAATCTTTTTTACACAATCATTAATTTAATAGAGGATTTTGTCCTATTTGTTTTGGACTTTCTTGCTTCAACCTCTGGTGTTCTAGAATCTTCAGTTCATAACGAATGGTAGAAAATAGTATTAAAGTTGAGACTTTCTCTCTGATGTATTACTTTAACCACATAAAGTGATGTTTCTTGATGTACAGAAAGAGGTCCAGCTATTTGCATTCCTTATCCATCTCATTCCCCAATCCCATGATGCATTTCAGTATATACATTTGGTTGAATAATTCCTATCTAGTGGATTATACTTGTGCACTAGGTAAACAATGTCTGGAAGAAAAAAATATGTGGGTAAAAATAGGGATTTTATAATTGTACTTATTTAATGGGATTGCTATTTTTTACTACTAAAATGTCATACTAATCTCTTTAAGTTTCAAATACTAGCACCTGAAGATATAACTTCTTATTCCATACACTAATATTTTTTTATCTGCCTTGTAGATAGTATATAGTTTTAAAATGCAATCAGGATCTGAAAAATGTCAAGCACTAATTAATTATTAAAATTGATAAAGGCAGGTAACTGTGTTACTGTTAATTTCCTTTAAATTCACAATCATACCTGATCTGTTCTCTAATACTTTCCCTTGTAAGGATGACATTTCTTTTCTGGTAGTCTGTGGTAGCGCACACAGTGCTTCAGCTTACAAGAAAAAATAACTCACCTACTGAAACATACTTCTAACCAGTAACTTCAGGTGCAGCTCACTACTACCACCAGTACAGCTCATGTTACACTAAAACAATCTGCTTTCCAACAGCTACAGCTGTCTAGTGGTACAAACAGACTAAGGGTTAGGGATCACCGTGATGTTGCGTTTGAGCTGTGTTTTTCTCCTACTAAGCTGCAGGTTTCAATGGAGGGTGGGAATAAGTGGTGTGCTGTTGCTCAACTGCTTTTCCTAAAGCTCATCAGCAAAAGTTTATGAGAAGGTAGCTGCCTGTCAACCTATTTTATACACTAGCCCTCCATGATCTTTCCTTTGTTCTCATGGGGATTAGCTACAGTCCCCAAGAGGCGCAAATGGCATGTAAAAACATGAATCCACAGAAATTTCAAAAAGTAATACAAATACAAAAATGAAACATACAAACTCAAACATTTGACAAGTAAACACAAAACTAAGAATGGCAAACACATGCAAAGGAAAATGCTGCAAAGGAAGAATGCTACAATCACAGAAACTAGAGATGGAAAGTGCAAACAAACTGTGAATACAAAACCTTCTGCAAACACATAAATTATGCCAACACACACAACATATGCAAAAGAAAATGCTTCAAGTAGCAAAACAACTGCAAGATGGTTCATGTACCTCCCACTAAATATTCTGAATGTTTCTAGTTTTGTTTTTATGCCATGTGGGATACAGTAAACCAACTAGATTTAAAATCCACATTTGAGTTGAAGGTGTCAACTGATGTGAGACCAATTTTCAATTAATCCTCGATTTTCATCAAAAAGTGACTAATCTGATAGCTCGATCTGTCCCTCCCTGCAGGGGCGCAGTCTGGCAACATTACCAGGATTTTGCATAAGAAGGCAGAGAAGACATGGGAGTTTTTGCTTACACAAACTGTACTAAAAAGTTTAATATTGTCTGTGGATTGTCTGTGGGTAACATTCAATTTGGACACACGTTACTAAAACTAAATTTGAGAACTAAACACAGTTAGTTTTATTTCCAAAATCAAAAATGAGTCTTGATGAACAAAAGCCTGCTGCCAATGAAAAGAACAGTTTCACAATCCAGTTATTAACAGGAGCTACTGGCTGTTCGTCTCCATGAAGGTAAAAGGTTTTTTTTTTGTTTTTTGTTTTTTTTTATCTTTTTGGTGATAATTACTTGTTTCCTTATGTTTAGCTTTAAAAAATTATGTTTTTTAATTGATTACAAATGTGTTTGGTAATAAACTGTATTGAGAGAAACATGCTGGCATGGGTTTTAAATATTGATACACAACTTGATTACATACACCATAAAAGCATGCTTAAATTTCATCCTCCTCTCATTTATGTAAACAATTCACTCACCCCCTTTAGTAACTATAATAGTGTGTTCATACCGAACGGGTAACATGTAAAAAAAATGTGCAAGTTTCTTGTGCTTTTGCTTGCCTGACATTTAAGAAGAAATTCAGGGGTGAGTAACGGCAATTCGTACAGTGGGCAAATTTGCCGGGCTAAAGGCTCCCCTATGTCATCCATTTTGCTGGTCATCAGTTTGACCTCGACATGACTTGATTTACAGAGCAAGGCACTGGTGCTTTATCTACTTTGGAAAGCAAATCAAGAGATGCTCCCAGCTCAGAGAGTCCAGGAGCTACAGCTGGATCATGGCCACCTCCCTCAGAGCTTAAGATAGGGGGAGACGCAGTTCTGGAGGTTATATAGAAACAGTCCTATGTGAGACATAAAAGTCATTTTCGGGCTAAATAAAAGTTTCCTTTAAAGCCACTAAAAAATCTTGTCTCCACTGTGCTCCTTCAGCCTATGTCACAGCCACATCTGGTCCCCAATTGGTTGTTGCAACACGAAAATACAGAAAAGTTCAGATTTTTCAACTTGAGTCAGTGGTGCTCTTGCCTCACTGTATTTGTTAAAAAAAACTAAATTTTGCCTTGCTAAATGTGCGACCTTTACCATGCTACTATCCTAAGCCTCCATCTGCATTATTGATAACATGTTAATTATTATTCTCACCAGGCACAGAAATCACATTCAGTGTGAAGGCCCCTTAAAAAGAGTTGGGCACAACTTTACTCAGAGTCAACATGACTCTGTCCATTATCATTCCTTCTATGTCCTTGGAAAGTTTGGACTTCAACACTGATTTGTCTGTTGCTGCCTTAAAGTAATTTTACTGACTTGATGTAGAAAAATGAATGTCTATTGACTTTTTCTTGACGTTTGCTGATCATGCTAAATGCCTCAGGTAACTTTGTGCTTCACTGTATAGCAGTTGAATCTGTCCTAGGTATTTTAGAGCCAATTAGCAAACTTCTGCCTTAATTCTGACTGGATCTCATCAAAACCATTTCAAATGGTTGATTTCCTGACATTGAACCAACCTTTAAGCATAGAACAACATGAAATAATTATTTCAAAATCACCAAAGAAAATCCAGGAACTAAAATTGGGCAGGTAAATTATCTACTAGAAGATGGTATTATTGGAACATCTGTTGCATTCTCCAAATTCAAGACTATAAGTGAAATTATACATGCATTTTACTCGACAACACATTGCTAAATTGATGAATTTACACTTTTTTAGGCTGAAATTGTGTGTACCTTTGTATGCTGTTGGTTATTTGCTCACCTTCAAACTTGGTCTTGAGGATGAACTCTTTATAGAACCTTTTGCCATTGCCTGGTTTCATTGCATCACAGACCTTTGATGTGTTGGAGCATACTGCTTGCCTCATGTTATGCAGAGCGAAGGCCATGGCATACACAGCATTCACCACAAACATGATTTTTGACTCTTGCTCAAAAGTTCCATCTCGTAAGCTGTGTTCACTGCAGCTGTGGTCCTGAAGGCTGCAGGCAAATCGGTGCTCCCAGAACTCCTTAAACCATGGGTTCCGCGTGTTGGTGTATGGGTTTAGCTTTGTGAAATAGTCTTCAAACTCTCTTATTGGGTAGGAGGCCAGTTCAATGGTGAAGGCCCCATCTGCTGCACTCTCACTGCCTCTCACTACACTCTCCTGTGCTCCCCATCCGTCGCTGGCCACCCAGATAAATGAGGTGTTCATTCGAGCAGCAGCTGCCAGCAACTCACGAGCATCCTCACTGCGGGTGAATAGGATGACCACCCTGGCGTTGGACTTCTGCTGCAGGGAGCGAATCACATTCTCGTAGCCCTGACGGTTCATTGAACGGCTAACCTTTGCTGAAGTGGCGATGCAGATTTGCCGATTGCGGGCCTCTTGTTGGAATGCATCAATACCAGTCTCGCCATAGTCGCCTTCGGATGCTACTGTTGACACATAGGTCCAGTTGAAGTAACGCAGGATTTCGGCCATGGCCTTGGCCTGGTAGAAGTCTGGAGGCACCGTGCGGGCAAAGTAGTCATAGCGAGTCTTGTCACTAAGCTTTGCACTAGTTGAGGCATAGCTGATCTGAGGTATTTGGAACAGACGCAAGAGGTTGGCCACCTGGAAAAGAGGATAGCCATTATTCACTGCTTTCTTTAATTTCTCAAAAGCTCCATTGATATAAAGTACACAGAAGAAACAGACTCCTTGTATCTGCCAAAGAAAAGCACTTTCATATCATGATTTTGGTACATTCATAGAGGGTGATCTGCAGCAATCATTTTCAGCCACCCATTGCATTTTACATGTAGCATGACATAACTATGTGTCAGACAACCTTTGTGTTTGTCCAATTTGGACCAGCAGATTGAAAGTTATGAGGAAGTACCAATTTCATCCCTCTAGATTAATCGTACTTCAAAGAAATACATATGATCAAGTAAGTGTCATGTAAGCTCTTCTGGGTAAGCTCTGATTTTGAAGGGGAGCTCCGACTGCCGTAGAGCAAGTTCCTGGGTGACTCATTCAATGATCCTCCAAGTTATATCAATAGGTTTTTTGTGAACAGCAGCCTGCACTGAGCATTGTCTCTCAACAAGTATTGGGCATTGACCTGAAAAATCTAATAATATATCTCAAATTAAGTTAAAGCATATGTTAAAACTTAAACGGTGTAACTTTAAATAAAAAACACACAAAAAATTATGATAAAAATCAATCATCTAAGAGAAGTTTTTTATTCCTCCTAGACAAAGAAATACCCTATTTGGCTCCGTACGTATATCATTTTGTTACAGTTTTGTGGTGTATTTTTCATTATCCCAGGTAAAATGTGTGAAGTCCAGAAGTTTCTTCCATTGTCATACTTGTGCCATACTTTCTCAAATTATGTGTTTACTGTGCCATACCTCAATTATGCCATGGATTTTATTAGTATTACTTTCCTTACTGAAACTTTTGTTTATTTAGATAAGTTTGATCCATTGTGAGCACTGTAGATTAAATAAAAAAAACTGTTGTTTTGGCAACAAATTATCTAATGTTTGGGAAATCTTATCAAGACAGTTGAACTTTTTATTAGAATGAATATATAGGTGTACAGTAAAGACAACTGGATGGTATTATTTATTGCTTTGCTTTATATGCTTTATTTATTCATGTAACTGGAATATTGCAAATTGTTTGATTCTAAAATTTTCCCAATATTTTTAAATATTGTTGTTTGTGTATATTTCTCAGATTAACAATTTAGTCGTTTTTGCATATTGTTCATGGTACATATGTGATGGTAACACATAAAATATAGAGTCACTTTTACCCATGGTTATTAAATAAAGGCTGATGCTATATTTGAATGTGTATCTACTTACTGGTATTCTATTTCAGCTCCATGAGAGAAAGCAGCTAAAAACTCTGCTATGATGCAACGTTTTTTTACCTTAAATTTTTCTTTATGTAGAAAAAAAAAGGGAATTACAAATTTGCTTCACTAGGAAGCAACACAAATAACTGTCCACACATAAGGCTTTTAGTGCATTTAATGGTTTTTCCACTACAGGCATTTTTTTTTTTAAAGAAATAAGCATTGAAAAGTGTTATCTTGAAATGTTCCTATATCCTTCTACCCAGACTAATATATTGATTTTCTTGTGGGTTTGGTGGTGATATGGTGACCACGGATGAATAACAAATCTCTTTTTTCTGAAAACTCAGTGTGCCATCCATGTTAAACACTAAAATGCTGAAATAATTGCCTGGCGTGGTTTAAAGCTGAAGTCTGTAAGTTTTTAAAAATCACTTTTTTGTCATATTGGCTGAAACTGTCCCTATGCCCAGACAGCAGTACATGTGATATGTAACCTGTGAAAAAAACTGCTTCAATTGGTACCGCCTACTGCCTGTATTTCAATCTGGAAAGAATAATTCGGGACGAGTCAAAACAACCAATCACAGTCTGATGGAGTGTCAATCACAGCTCACACACGCTGAATCCCGCCCCCCAAACCCCCCCTTCTGGTGGCATGCGGTAGCCGCGCAGATGCTGTGAGAGGGGTGGAGCTTGAGTGAAGCAGAGAGGGTGGGGGAGTGGCGTGAAACCTGTTTTTCTTCAAATTTTCAGTTGGAGTCTGCTCTCTCCTCAATGTTACAGACTGCAGCTTTAAACAAGAAATCTCTGCAATTACTTCTCACAGAGCATCATAGTGCCATGACAGGGATGCAGCAAAAACTTGTCATTCTGCAGCATACCTCATGAGACACAGTAGTGATTAGTGAAAACCCATGGGCTTCAATATGGCTGTTTCCTCCCCCAAGCATCATTGTATGCCTGGAGGTTTTCCAAACAAGGCATCTCCACAGATCTAATTGGAAGCTTCTACACTCACACTGAGTGCCATTCAGTTCACTCATTCTACCATTACACCATATTCTATTTAGAGCAGAATCAGCTTTTGTATTCAATTTATTCCAAGAGCTTGTACTTTAACAAACTTTTGTAAAACAGAATGTCAGTCAGACCACTAATTTAATGTTAACAGCTATCGCATGCATTTCCCGAGAAAATGTCATCAGCTTATTTTAATGAACTTAAGCAACTGTAAACAACCTTCAATCAGAGGTGCCAAATTTTATTTCTATCAGTGGCGGACGAAGTACTACACTGTAGTACTTGAGTAAAATTATTGATACTCATAGTTAAATCTTACCCAACTACAAGTAAAAGTTACTCAGTCAAACATCTACTCAATTTAAAGTATTGTAGCACTCACTTAAAAAATGCTTAAGTGTTCAGAAGAACATGCATTTTAAAGTATTTATATTCAAAAATACAAATTAAAATTTCTAATATCAGTACATTTCTGTGTAATTTTCAGTTTAATTTTCAGAGTCATTTTAAAGTACTATTTAACTTTCAGAAACCATCTTGTGGTTTAATGGGCAGCTATTTTGATTGTTATTTCTTATTTTAAAACAAAGCAACAACTTAACAGGATTGTCTTGATTCTTCTCAGACTTTCACTGCGAAATAGAGGTTTAAAGTTGAATCTCTTACCACAAAGAAACCACAACTCATCCTACTGAAAAACTTGGTCACATGGCAACAACTCTCAATAAAAGAGAGCTTGATAAAATTTATAATGGAATGTCATTAAATCTCTAAAACAGTGGTTTCCAAATTCAATCCTAAGGGCTGCTATCTTAAATGCTGAAACTGCATTTAAAAATGAATAAGTAGCAGCTTCCTTTAAATGAAGTGGAGTAGAAGTACAATATTTCACTTTGAAATGTAGTGGAGTGAAACCTATAAGTACCCTCTAAAAAATTACTCAAATAAAGTTAGGATACTCAAAAAAAATACTTAAGTACATTAATTAAGTAAATGTACTTTGTTACTTTCCACCACTGATCTCTACACAGGTTAGTATCACTTAATTCTCATTTCAATTTTCTAAATCTGGTTCCAGTAATGCATGCAAAATATTTAGTTGTGATCAGCGAGAGAAAAGTTAATTTTCATCATGAAACCTGAGGTTTTTTTTCTAAACTTGACACTGACTTGGACTGATTCATAGTCCAAAATTTGATTGCTGTTTTTTTGTGACTTAAAATACAACTAATACCAGATATTTAATTACAGTGTACTGTATACCAATATAGGAAAACCTTTCTTATTTCACCACAATTGTTTTGGTAAATGCCAGAAAATTTAGAGTACTTTTTTTTTCTCATTTTATAATAGTTCTTTAAATTCTGAGGTTTACGTACAATTCTTCAGAATGAAGTAAATGCCTCTAAACTACAGGATTAGAGTTCCACAAGCTGCTAGAGAAAGCTTGCAGTACTAGAATTTTGTCCCTTGCTTGCTCACATATTTTGTGTAACTGATTCAGGTTTCTATGGAACAGGGTTTTTCGATGGCAACTTCAAAACATTGCCTTTGTTTTTGTTGACCTACTTTGCAACCAATTTAGAGCCTAATCTTCAAAGACTCCAATTAAGTGGTGGTAATTCACGCATCTGATTTTTTTCTAGTACACGCAATAAGAGGGAATGTTAGTGATCTACAAAGACTGCTGCACAAATGTAAAGATTAAGAAACAGGTTTGGTTCCGTCAATGGAGTCTGAGGTTAAAATGATAATAATTTAAAATATAAGTATGAAAATTCTATATAATATTTATAGGGTAGCTGAAATAGGTGACTTTTAAGTACTACAAACAAAAATGAAAATACAAAAAGAGAACTAGCTAAAGTTAAATATATAAAGAATATATATATACCACAACGAGAAAATTTATTTTAGTCTGATTGATATAAAAGCAGATTATGTTCAAAACATCTGGATTCACCTCCACCAGCCACTCTCAACAGCATTTTTATATGTTATTATGCAAAACAAGGTAAGCTGTTAAGAACTGAATTAAGTTAGGCATGCTTTGTGCACGCTTATATTTTATTATACCAAGGGAGTTAAAAAAAATCCTATTGCAATGAGAAGGAGTTGCACCTCCCCCCCTTTTTTTTCAATATTACCCTACTGTTCTTATTTATGATAATCCAAATATGTTTATATTTGCACAGAATCTCTCTCCACCAAATACTTTGTACCAATATCTCCTTTGTGGCAACAATGATTGTAGTTAATTTTGTGTCGGTTTGCACCTGACTATAAGGAGTTCTAAAAAAGATGCCAAACTGCAGCCTAAATTTGGAAAATTGTTTTGCATGTCTAAATATGTACATCTACATATTTTCCACCCATTAATGGGCACAGTTTGATCATTAAAATATGATATGCAAATTCATTAAGGCAAACACACAAAAAATGGTTTGCACACTGAATTTGCTGCTGAATTGTAAACGTAAATCATTCGCTCCTTCTTTGAAAGTCTGCTGTGCATGTACAGATGTTTGAATTCGTCTTAAGATGCACAAACCTACTGAAGATCAGGAGATCTTAGTTATTTGTAATACACAGTTGTACAGAAACTTCTCTATTTCCAAATATTGTTCATTCTAAATGATCTCACTTATTTTGTAAAATTCCTTCTGATTCGCTTTACAGAAATATAGACATTAAAATTCTGCCACGCTTGTACCCCACACTCCATATGTACCCT